TGTTGGTGACTTCTTACAATATTTCTACTTATATATAGATAAAAATACCAAATAAGTATAAAATTTCTTTTCGTACACTTGGAGGCATACGTCATCTGCAAATATGTTGGTAGTTTCTACCTAAACTTAGTTAAATCAACGTCGAATTAACGTTATACTGACGTCAAATTTCCCTAGAGAGGTATTACTAACCAAACGAACTGGGCTACTACAATGTGGATTTAGATGTAATTCTACCTATTTTGGTAAATAAAACTAAATTTCGACGTCGTCTTATTCTCCACTTATGTCGAATCTACGTCGAGCATACGTAAATTTTACTTAATTATGGTTAAATCTAATTTTGCGACCAAATTTATTATATATAATTTAGGTAGTATCGACGTCAAATTACACCAAAATGTATGCTGGGAAAAGTTTATAAAAACGTAGGTCCGAAAAAGTTTCTTTTCCGAGATACAGGGTGTTAAAAGGGAAGTCCTGATGACACTCTTGGAAATATTTTCTAAACGTTTAAAGATAACTAAGTGAAATTTGGTACAAATGCTTACCTTTTTACGCTCTATTTAATGGACTAAACCCCAGTTATTGATCATCTTCATAGATGGGTAAATTAGGGGGAGGCTTAGGGTAAAATTGCCCTAAGTTTTTTTTTTGCAATTTTTAAAATTTTTGACTATAAAATTTGAAAAACCAATGTTTTCTTTATATTAAAGCTACTTTTGTTGCATCTCGCTAGGACGCACCATGTTCAAGAAAAAAGCATTTGAAAATTTCATGATAAGTTGATGTTATCTTATTCGAAAATGTAAACAATAATTAGTAGGCCTGTGAAATCAGAAATTGTATTTTTTTTATTTTGAAAAACCGATGACTAAAGAAATTTTAGAAAATATTTACAAAAATGTGCCATCAGGACTTTAATTGTAACACCCTGTATCTCTAAAACGAAACGTTTTCGGACCTATGTTTATATGAACTTTTATTCCTATTTTAGGATGTATATTACGCTGTTAAAATATGACCGTCTAATTTCGGGACACCCTGTATATTTTTTTTATGTTAAATTATACGATCTTAACCTACAAATTGTCGGTCATCCGAAATTTCAATAATTCTTTAGAAGAAGCGGCAACAAGGTAAAAACATATCGACTATTGTCTGCAAAGTTATAAATTAGCCAATCAGATTGTAGGCTTCATTATGATGTTTTAAATCATTGTAGAACAGAAGTAAAAGTTGGAAATGCTTTTGCCAGTTCTCCCACTTTATACACATAAATTGACAGGTTGGCAGCGGATCTCACCGAAGTGGACGCGATACATTGGCGTACAAAATTATTTTATAGATGTTAATAACAATTTCGAGTAAATAGTTTAATAAATTGTGAATAGCCGTTGAAATTTTGTAAAATTATAATTTGAATATTATAATACATGTTTAATAATTATTTATAAGCTATAAATACATGCGTTTGTCCGGTTCCGCCGATAACAATTTAAAATTACTTATTCTATGAAACGACGCTGGCAGGTAAACATTACTGTGAAATTCTCGGAGCCGCCCGACGTGGTTTGACGTTTACCCCCTCTCTACTTACCAAAAGACTTTTCAACTTTTACTTTCTCTATAGCGCGAGTTTAAAATTTGATTGAATTTTTTAGAAGTTTAAAAAATTCTTGTAGGAAAATTTTAAAAGAAAAAAGCTTCAAAAAAATATTTTTAGATTAGATTTTGTGCTAGCTTTTAGAAAACAATATTTCGGAATGTCACTAAACACGTCCATTATAGGACCTTTCTTTTTTCTTAGAAGCTCGATACAAAGACAAAGGTGGCAACTCTAGGTAGGTACCCCCTTTCTAACAAAAAAAAAAGAATCATAGATATCGGACAACATAGAAATATCACTGAACATACACAAAAAAAATATTTCAATAAACCACTGAGAGCCTCTTCCTTTCTTTTGGAATCAGTTAAAAACATAATTTCATCCATTTAATTAGGTGTTTAGATGAAAATTATGATTACCAAACCATTATATATGAATATTACAACGAAAAATCACCCTAAAAGCACATTGTTACAATGTTTCCAAATGTTATACCTTCTTTTTATTATAAACTTATGTATTTTGTACATGGTTTAAACTGTATGATAAGGCGAATATGTTTTAAATATTTATGTTTTCTTCTTGTAATGCATAAAGAGTTTCAGTGGTTTTTATTTTTCTTCTAGTCTTGCCTCATTTGGCTTCTGTGTATGTTTTTAAATTAGCTGAATTCTGCTTTTATAAATCCAAGATTCATGTTGCAATACTTACAAAAGGTTCAAAAATAGAAATATAAACAAAACTGAATGGATTAAATTTCAGTTTCAAACTGACATATATATGAAGTTTCTGTCACTTGGTTAATTAAGGAATATAATAATGTTGCAAATATTTTAGATGGGCAGAGTACTGCTTAAATGCAATCAAGAGGTTTAGGTTTGTAAACTGATATAGTAATTGCTTGTTTCATGTTTGTAGTGTCTAATTATCAGTATTACAATCAAGCCCACCTGTAATAGTTAAAGCAATGTATGTTTATAGAACTTATAGGGATATATCATATTGCTTCCCACTTGATTCAAAACTTAAAACCTACACTTGAAGTGAAATGCAAAAAAAAATGTCTGGATTGGAAAATTCATAAATATTTTAGCCATAAAATAGTTATTTAAACTATACAGAGTAACAGATTTAATGTCATTATGGAAGCAAACTATTGGCATTTGGAGTTCTTCAATAGTTTTCATTTATTCCTATAAAAATTCATACAAAAATAGAATACTTATATGTTGTTTTGTGCAATGATGTGTCTGTTAATAAAATTAAGTTTATGATCTTCAAAAATCAGAGTAATTACATATAAAACTAAACTTTGAACTGTCAGATCTCACAAACTGAAAAAGTCATTACAAGAAGTAGAGCCTTAACACATTAAAAAAGTTATTAATTTAAAAATAACCAGAATATGTCATACTTTATATTTATTTAAGGATTTTTCTTAAAAAAAAAAAACGATTTCTTTGTATTAATTTCTCTTTAAATTTCAGTTCTTTTATCTTTTTTTAATCAATTCATCAGTTGGCAACATTGGCATCATATTTTTCTTATTCGTGAGCATTAAATTTGTTTATATTAAAAATGAAATTTGCCTAAAAGGCCTCAGCTATATTGTGTTAAAGGTTGCATGTCAAAATCAAAACAGAAGTTTTCATTATTTTCCAAGCTTAACTCCTAAAAATTTGTTTCTTGTAATAAATGTATACCTATAAATTCATTGAGATTTTGTAACATGTTGTGTCTAGAATCAAACTGCATTGTGACAGTTTTATTTCGATTTAAATGTTTACAGTCTCACTATGTTCACTTCAGAATCTAATAATAAGGATACCTACTTAGATTTGTACCTAAAATGTACTTTAAATCACATAATAAAAGATGATATTTCTAGAAGTTTGTGTAGAATCCTGATGAGTGAAGATTTTCAAGAAATCTAGTCTTAAACACATGATAAATATTATATTTATAACGAAAGCAAAGAAACTAAACTTCAATAAACACTAAATGAAACTCAAAAATACTTTTATAATGATAATAATATCTAAAACCAGTTAAAAATTAAAAATACAGAAGCCTGCCACAATAGAAAAATTGTAAATTAACTAATAACCTACTTAGAGGTGACAAATGAGGGGCACAAAAATTAATTTGAAACACAAATACCAAATTTGAGTTGTGTACTTATAGAACAGGCTAAAAGCTATTTATTATTTGCAAAAAGTTGTGTATAAATATTTCAATAAATAAAGTGATAAATCCATCTACAATTGAAGATAAAGGACCTATATTCTATGGTGAACTATTCAAATTAATATGTTTCTGTTACAAATATCCTTCAATCATGACTTGTAGTGGGGTTTTGTTGTAGACAAAGTGAGAATGATTGCCCATTCATTTTATTTCTTGTAAGATCTCAAAATTCGCCATTCGTTGTGGTCCCAATAAAAGCAAGTTTACTCGAATAGGTCAAAAAAATTTGCAAGAGAGTGGGCAGAGACAATCTAAATGCTACTATAAAACAACTAAGAAATCAGAATATCTGAAAAATACTAAATGGGAAGACATTTGAAAAGTGTGGGTAATAGCCTGTTTGGAAAGTAATAAAGTTATTTTTGTTGTTTCTTTTTTGAGTACATAATCACTGAAAATCTTTCTGATTTCTAAAATTTCTTTAGATGTTCACAATACTAATTAATACTATATAGATTATACTTTATTTGCTTAAATACACATAAATAGCTTTTACAATTGTCAACACACCCAAAATAAAATGTATAAGTACATTTTAGATATAATAATCTAAATAGATATAACATTAAAAACAATAATATAGTACTATAAAAATAATAAACATTTCAAAAGCAGTAAGTACTTTCAATTATTATCTCTAAGTACTTAAGTACCTATTGTTATATTGATAGTTAAGAAACATATATTTAAAAGAATAAGGCTAAACAACTGTATTTTTATACCCCACTTATCCCTACACTATTCATTCATAAATTTGTTATCAATGACAATGTGATAAAGTAACCAAAACACTTTGATAAATAAAATTAAATTGTAGGTACTACGTACATTCATGAATTCATGTTGTAACTTTTTAGTTGTATTTTATAGTTGCTGCATCAGGAGAACGTGAATGAAATTTGGAATTTCCGCCATGTTGATTAAATTAACAATAATGAACATTTTTAAGGCAGTCTAGTTTTTAATAATATCTAGGTTTATTTCAATAAGCAATAATTTCTTTTCAATCTTGAATGTCGAGGCATTACATTAAGGTTTATTTACAAATATGCCAAAATTTGGACATTACATTACGTCATACATTCTTTTAAAATGGGTTGGGCTGGATTTTGATAAAATAAAAAATGTTACTAATTTATCATACCTTGAATTTGCTCGTTAAATATATTTGATCTTACACATGTTAGAACATAAATAAACTCTTGAAAACTGTAAACTTATATCCAAAATCACGTTGATAAACAATTTTTGTGGATCAACTTTTTGACACTTTTGACAGTTATGACTTTGACAATTGTCACAATTTCTTTTCTTATTTTTAGATTTTTGTGACCTTTAACGTAGCAGCCGAAGAGAGAGTTATGGCCGTTATGGGGGTATAAAAAATTAAAAAGAGGAAATTCATTGGTTATGTTATTTTGTTTTTTTTTTCACAGAGCTAGGTTTTTTCTTAAACGTCAGTTTTTTAAATTTTAAAAACACCAGATTGTAAATTGTAAGTAAACAAACTTTTCTATATTACATTTCTGTAATAAATTAGCAAAATATTTCTATAGTTCTCGTTTCTCGTAGAAAATTAACGAACAATATTGATAGCTTAACCCTATCAGAATGAAATACTTTTATATAAAATAAGTGATAAAAACATACAATATGTTAAAAATAAGAGCATTAAATCGTGAAGCTTCATCAGATGAAGAGGCTCCAGTTATAAGAAGAGAAGCTCAGGTAAGACAGAATTGATTTTCTTCTCTATCTATATACAAGTTTAAAAAAATAATTCCTAGGTCTTATTTAAAAATAAATGTTATTTCCAAGCACAATTATTTGCTTAAAACGACAGGTAGGTCGTTTATTTGTGGACTTGGAGAAAGGGTTTGATATGGGTGACCATATGGTAGCCCCAATATGGTATCCTTCTAAGAACTTTTTAAGGGGAGGGGTGAAAGGTACTGCACATAAACTTTTGGAAAATTTTACTTGTAAAGTTCCTCAAGGAACAGTGCTAGGTGTGTTTGAATCAGAACCAGAATTTATCTCGGAATTTATATATTTATTTTTTTTGTAAAATTCTTTGATAAATTACTTACACCTATTTTCTTGACTTTTTAGGAAGGAATTGCTCTTGAATTATATAATAAAGCTCTTCGATTACAAGCTCAAGAAGTTTTTACTGAAGCTGAATCTATTCTACTTAAGTTGATTGATGAAAACATTCCTCTTCTAGAAAACAATGGAGGTCTTCCAAAATCTATGTCTAATTTAAAATACTCGTGTCATGTTAATATAGGGAACATATATTTAAAGCTTAACAGAGTTAACGATGCACTGGAAAGATTTCTGTTGGTAAGTATTGTTTAAGTTTTATTCGAGGTTTTAATTCTTAACAGGTGGTTGCCAGAATGTTCATTTAAAATTTATGGGTTTTATATACTTTGGCATAGCTTGTGAATATGATTTTCAAATTAGTCACATTACTAAATATCTGTTAAAGTATATCTATCAAAGTAGGAAAAACATATTTTAAAGTTTAAATACCTGACTTTCTTTCTAAATTTTAACTATCCAGTAATTATTTTTATGTGACCAAAATTTGCTATGGTGTTTCTTTCGTCATATACCTACTTTCAATATGTTTCATTATGTATAAGTATTCAGGTAACCGATCACAATTATACTAGGATTTTAAATGAAATGAATATGAGCTGACTTTAAGTACAGGAGACATATCAGATTTGAATTTTATCTATAGATTATTAAATGCTCTAGTAATATGCCTGGAACTCTTAGAAATGCTTTCTTTCAATATTCCTAATAGAGTCCTTAGGCAATTAAATATGTTCCATTTCACAATACAAACTATAGCATGCATTTACCTATTGAAAAAACATTGAGGGTAATAAATTAATTGAATCTTGAGGTTACAGGCATTACTTTTAATAAATTTAAGGCAATCTGTATGAACACACTGGAGTAAAAATGAAAAAAATGAAATATTATAGAGGGATTTACACTACTTAAAATGCATTTGTTAATCTAAAACTTATTTGACTTAATTTTAACTTTTTTTGACTTTTTTCTCTTGTATTTTTCAATTTACAATTATCTGTATCATTTATATGTGTTTTGCTTTGTAATGGGAATGATCCCATTTAAATAAATAAGTATTATTTACTTTTCCTAGGAGAATTTTCCATATAGGGTCATGGCACTACTTATGGCCACCTTAAGGCAAAAATGCTTTTGTATGGTCTATTTTTCAATAATATTGTAACTGAAAAAAAATAAATAAAATACCATTTGATAGGTTGGAGTATGTAGTTTTCAACAATATATGTATCTATTTTGTTAAGAACATGTAATTCTTTTTTACATTTTTTTTACAAAAGTGGAAGCAATTCTTTACTTTTGGCCATCAGTCCGCCACTAGTTCTTTACTTATGGCCACTAATTTTTAAGTTAATTTAAATGCATGTTTATATTTTAATTTACATCCCAAGCAGCAAAAAATGCTCAAAAGAGTTATATAAACAACTATATAACAATTTTTTTATAAAAATTGTATATTTTAAGAGCATTTTATAGACGCTTATATGGCACTTATAAACACGGAAGAGGCGCAGGTTTATAAAATAAATGTGATTCTTAACAGGTTTTTTTATGGGGTATAAAAGTAAGTATAAAACATTCTGGAGTATGTTATAAAATTTTTATATAACAATTTTTTTAAAGTTACATTATTGGAACTATCAACATACCTATAAAATAAGTTTGTTTCTGAAACTACTATTATATAATAGTTTTATGGATATTATATATTTGTTTTATATATATGGCTTACAACCATATTAAAATATTTAGAAACGACTTATAAAATTGTTGTTTAACAGTCTTATAATTATTTTATTATACACAGAATTGATTTATTCACAACATTTAGATTTTATGCAACACAATATAGTTTTACAGTTATTAAAATTAAATTGTGGTGAAAAAGACAAAACAGATTTTTAAGATGCTCAGAATAAACAAATATATAATGTAATAAACTATATGCATATTATTTTCACTGTTTATCCAGTAATTTCTTCTGTCACACAAATTTTACTGACATTATATATGCCTAATTATGGGAAAATTTTCACGGGCCCTGAATTTAATTAGTTGTTATTAAAAAAATTACTTTAATAATTTTATTGTTTCAAAAATTTACCTAAATTAGTAAATATTGATTATGTTGTGTCTATTGTACAAAGTATTTGCTTATTTTCGATATCTGAACAAACTAGTGTAAAAATTTATTAATAATTTTGAAATAGTTTACATATAAAAACATGGTAGACATTATATTTACTGTTTGATAAACGTATTCAAGATAGAGTCAATTAATAAATCAGTTTTGTTGTTTCGGAAACAATTATGTAACTAAATTATCATGTAGTTGTTTCTAATAAAGCAATTATATTTCTAAATTGTTGTATAATGCTTATTTTTAAGGCACATTCGTTTTATAACTGGAAATGACGTAATTTATATCTCCTTAGATACTTTGGCATTTCCAATGTTGCCATATTTCTAATAAATTAAAATAATTTTAATATTATTAATCTAAATCGAGGTCTAAATCTTAATCTTCATTATTTATATCATAATATGTTTAAGATTTATATTTGCGATTTTCACTAGATTCCTGATTTTTTATCCTCTTTTCATCTAAATTAAAAAAAAGCTTCATTACATTTAAAATTTTCGAGAAAAATGGGAATATTGTCAACTTTTTGACAGAGCACTCTAGAGGCGATAAAATTATTTATTATTAATCATTTTATGTATCTTATGAAACAGGAAAAAACTATTTTAAATGACGTCAAAATCATTGAAATCGGTTAAGAAACAAAAAAGTTACATAACATTTATTTGTAAGGGCAAAAAGTCTCTAAATATTTTTTGTATAATCTCATCAAGGTTTCACTTGTATTTCTCGAGATAATCACATGATTATGTTTTCGAGAGTTTGTTGCACCCCTAGCGGCCATTTAAAGAACTCGAAAACATTTTCCTGCGTTTTTTCATGGCCATTTTCATTGCAAAAATTTTTTCGCCGAATATATACAATGAGATATGGCCGGCGTCCATTTTTAGTTTCCCACCCGGTACATAATAGAATCTCAAAACAAATTCGAGAGACGCTAAATTGGTGGTTCTCACCTTATCCAGACTGAGGCCACACGGACCGGAAGATGATATATTAGGACGTTGAATTTTCAGGTATATATGTTGACAGACTAAACCACGTAGAGGATCTTCACAAGTCCTGGTTTATAAGAATCAATCCAAATCGCATTTTGATCAGGGTTTACAATTTTTTTAATTACAAATCAAAATAAAAAAAAAAATATTTTTTAGTATACAATTTATCGTCTCCGCGTCGTGCAGTATTGGGATCGCGCCTGGGAGTAGGAGTTCTGTCTGCTCAGCCCGACCAATATAGTTAGACCTGGATCCTGTTTGTCTTTTTTATTCAAATACCTATATTTTATTATAATCAATAAACTTTTTTAAATTGAAAAATCGGAATGGAATAGAAATTTAAACAAAAATATTTGTGTCGATTCTAGAGTACATCTAAACCGCCATTTTTAGTCCAATTTCACAAAAAAAAAATAAGTGAAACATTGTATTTTTGTATTAATTTATAAAATAATTGCTTAAACTACAGAATCTTCACCATTTTTTCTACGCATGTTGTATGCCCAGTATTTTAATATTATAGAAATTTACTCTACAGATATGTCTTTTGCGCCGAAGTTGTACTTTTTTCCTGACAAAACAACATGAATTGGTTCCAAATTGATTTATGGTTTTAATGGTATTAATTAAAATATTTTATCTATCCTATCCATAGAAAAATTTCAAAACTTGTTCATTGGTATTTTTAGAATAGATTGAAAGTGTCAAATAATAAAATTAAAGTTGACATACGTAAAACTCGCCGCAGGTTTGGTTGAAGGCACTGATGGCCTTGCTAGATAATACGATTTTTATACAAATGTTTAATATAAACGTCAACACAGATTGGTATTTTTATGATTATTTTTTTGTATATTGACAAAATATTCTTATGACAATGACAACGCCACCTTTAAACTACTAGATATACCTGGGTATGTATCCTATAAAAATAATACCACATTATAGGTTTTATAATTTTTTCAGTCATTTTAGTGTAAAGTTTTTCGTATCGGCAATCCCGGATTTGGTAATCTTTGACAGAAATTTCTCTAGTTGCCAATATTAGCAAAAGGGAGCGTGACAGTAACATTATTGCACTTCATGCGATTATTATAAATCAATAAAATACTTTTATTTTATAAAAGGCATGTTAATATAAAATTATCGTATAAGGCTCGTGTACATGTCGTATACGCATTTAATACGTTTGTGATATTTTGAAAATAAAAACAACCTTAGTTTTGTTATTTAGTCCGTTTTGTTTCATCCCCAAAGGCTTGAAGATACGCCTTATTATCGACGGGTTTACCTGGACCACTGTAAATACCAATGATAATAGGTTTTATAAGCAACATTTCATGAATATTACACAGTGTATATTGGCTGATTCTTCAGTGCAGTCCTTACTCGGTCCTATATTATATCAGCATTAACTTTTTGGATATACTGTATCCTAGTAACTGTGCTACTCAAAATGCTCTCATAATTTGCTTTAATTTTTTTTTCGAAAGTATCCGCTTCTCTTCCGGTTTTTCCACGTACTGAACATTTTAAGAAATTAAAATGAAAAAGTTAGGTTAGACTAAGTGAGCCTAAATAATCAAATCCTCTTTTAAGATGTTTTAATTTTAATTTATAAATGTTTTAATATGTCCTCTTTTGCAACAGGTATAAAACTGTTATTTAAAAGTATACATAAATATCAAATTATCGCCGAGTATCATTTGTTATATTAGAGAGTTATATTATAAGCGTGTAATAAAAATTGTTTGTAATTTTTATAAGTGTTTTATACGTATCTGGAATATAAGTATAAAACACTTATGAAACACTTATAAAATATATTACACTTAAGCAAGAATAATCATATAAGGAGTGTTATATAAATATTTATAAGTTATTACATTGTTCTGTTTTAAACATGTTTTAAAAGTAGTCTTATAATTATCTATATAACAAAATAATAAAATATATTACTCTCTGAGATATATTTATTTCTTGGTTATAAGTTAAATTAGTGCCCATTGTAGCATTTATACGATAAATATAAAATAAATTTCTTTTATAATCATGTCCCCGTGCTGCTTGGGATGTATGTACCTAGTAGTGATTTAGAATAGGTAGGGTATAACAAATTAAAATTTTTGCTAAAATATGAAATTTATTGTTCATAAACATTAAAGGTAACATTTGGGAAGGGAGACCGAGACCGACTTCAAGCGCAAAGTGACAGCGAAGGAGACCGAAAACGGTATCTAAACGTCTGAACATATGTAATTAAATGAAACACATTTGGGAAGGCGCGACCGACGACAGCACTTTTAGTACGATAGTATTTGCTGCTTGCTGCCTGCCACTTGAAGTCGGTATGGGAACAGTGAAAATGACATTTTCAATATATATCCAAACATAGTTTTTTTCTTTGTGCTTTTTAAGCACTAGATTCCTATTTCATTCCCCATAGTTTGGCGTACAACATATTTATACACGGTCGATCTTCTTTTGCCACAGGCAGTAAATTATACCAATATATAAAGTCGCTTGGTTTTAATGTTTTGCCTAACTGCATAATCACTGCTGGTGCTATATCTGAGAAACTGCCACTGCTGTCAGATGCCAGTGACATTTCATCTTCTTAGCTAAAAAAACAAGTAACTCCCACAACCCATACAGTAACTGAGGTGGCCATAACTCACGAATTATTAATTTCTTGTCATTACTAGTGACCACACTGATATTTATTTTTACTTAAAAAAAAAATATGATGTTAAAACAAAATACATTGGGTATTAACATCTACTTACCTTTGGAATGGAAAGTTTTCAAAAATATCTGTAAGTTTTGTTCCAATGTTTACAGATAAATTCTTAGCCAAAACAACAAGTAATGCTTGCATGTATTACACATGCTAACTATTTATTTTACTGATTTCCAATGGACTTGGTTTATTAGTTGCAAACCTGCCCAATCATGTAACCACATGCTCATTTATCTTCTTCAACCACCATTTTTATTTACAATGTTGCTAAACGTTTATTTTTAGGTCTTAAAGCAAGAAGTGGCCATAAGCAGGGTAGTTGCCATAAGTAGTGCCATGGCCCTATGTCAAAATGTATACAGTCTATTTACATCTATATTTCTATTTTATTTATACAGTGGGGACTAGAAAAGGGTAATTAAAGCAAAACAATTATGTAATTCAGCTTTATAGTTAAATTCACACCTAGGTAACAGTACAGTCTCTTATAAAGCACCACATTGCTTGTTATAACATTCATATCTAAGCCATCAGTGCTGGCAGTAAGTCCGTAAGCATTGCTCAGAATATATTGAGATATCTGGCATTTGCTTCGCATTCCGAAGGTAGTGCTATAATTTTTTTTTTGAGGTTTTCGCATAGCAATTGGTAAGTGCTGGGACAATAAAATCCTCTCAGATATTCACCATTGTCCCCAGGAGGAGAATGACATGCAATTCCCCCCACTGTTCTGAATCGATTTTCCATTAATTCTATAAATTTCAGGCTTCTGAATTGGATGCCACTGATGTTACATTATGGTATAAAATAGGAAATTTGTCTATCGATGAAGACAAATTTAGACAATCTGCATACGCTTTTGCGAAGGTAATAATTCACTTACCTATTACTTGAACATGAAATATTGAGTTGGACTTCTTATTTATTATAAATTATTTTTAGGGATTAGAATGCAGCGAATCTCATTGGCCATGTTTAGACAAGTTAATTTTAGTTTTATATGCCATAAAAGATACTATAGCTTGTTTAGAATACATAGGAAAAGCTTTAATGCTAGATCCGGACTATACGAAAGGCCTGGTATTGAGAAAACAAATATACAAAGATAACCCTGCGTCTAAAGAATATTACAAACTCTATAATCCTGAGAGGTGAGGAGTATTTTTTTTATTAATCCTATAATATACATATAAAATGACCAATTGCTGTCACTTTTAAATCATTTAAAAATTCCGTAACTTACAGTACCTTAACTTTGCTAATATTGCTAATTAAATCAATAATGTCTTTGTGAATAAATATAATATATTACCTTTAAGTATATGGGAACCTCCTTTGGACATTGAGGTACCTGAGGATGATGAAAAAACGTATTTAGAAGAAGCACAAATTTTAGTTAATAAAGTTAATGAAGCAGAAAAAGCGCTTGCGCCAAAGCCACTGCAAACGATTGCACTACCTAAACCATTAGTGGATTATACTTGGCTATGTTTAACAGAAACAATCGTCTATATTCATCAATATCTAACAGATGAAGGACTGGTAAGATTAAAATTATTAATACATTTATTTTATCATAAAACTTTTAAAATTAAGATTGAAAACAAAGAATGTATTAAAATTCTAAGATTCTTAGTGTTGGATTTCGACAAGTTTTTTTAGCAGTGGTATTGATATAGCACGTAACAGCAACTTCCGCTTGAAGGGTAATTATGGTCCGATAATTAACCAAAGACCAACCTTGCCTGGAAAATCTGATATTTGTTGATTAAATTTAGAGGTGCGTCACTTCTGCGACAGATTGACATCAGACACCATTTTTCAGGCTACTGCAATCCTTATTTAACAGGTTTTTCCAAGAGTATGGTAAATTACGGACTACATTACCAATATTTCGGTAAATATCGGACCATACACTAAGTCTATCGATGCCTTTTGCAGTTGCGGTATTAACATGGCGCCCTAGATTCGATAATTTCAGTACATCATCTCCTTCTCTAGAATTGTAACGTCTGATTTATATTTTGTACCAAAAGTAACATTTGTAACTGATAACATTTATTTTAAAACTTCATCTAGAAAATTGTTTCTGTAACTTTGGAGGGCGGGAAAGGTATCAGTTAAGTCATTGATTAAGTTATCTGATACCGATTAATTTTAAAATATTTCATTAAGCTTTTTTCTTTTTTTTTAACATCCCTAATGTTTTCCTTTACTAATAATGATCATAAATATTTATCTTTTCAATTGTTTGTATTTTCTTAATTATATTATCGAATACAATTATAACAATAATACATTTTCATTTATAGAGTCACTTTACAATGTTTGATATGTCTAAGAGTATGAGTTTCAATGATTCTTGTACTTTCAAATTTCCCCAAACTGAAATTGATGATTCAAAAGTGACTGAAGACAAAACAGCGGAAGTAAACAATATTACACAAGTTAATACCGATACTGTTATTAATGAAGACAAATTGAACAGCGAACAAATAACCGAAAGAAGAGTTTCACAAAACAGCGATAATTTAATGGAAGTGCAGGAAATTACTCCGGTACAAACTGATAACGATGAGGTAAATGATCCCAATTTTAGGTTTTACTTTACTTTACAGGGCATAATATACTCTAAAAAAAGTTTTATTGAATTTTAACTGTAGAATTGAACGTTATCATGATATTTAAAGAATTTTTTTCAAGTTGGCAGCTGAATCAACATTCTACAACAATGAAAACACAATTTATACTCGGGAACAGGTTTGCCAGATAAAGATGGACGTAAGTCGCAGAGTTCAACAGCTGGAATAGCCCAGATGTTGTCAAATCTTAATAAAGCCCAAAATCGCAGGTCACAAGCTTCATTAATATTTGGAAGTTCAAGCTAACTTTAAAATTAGGAACACTCTTCTAATTTTTATATATCTTTTTTTCTTAAATGATTTTTTTAACAAAAAAGTGATATTGAACAAATATTTAAAAGTTATGGACCTTTTACCATTTTTTATAGTATTTAAAAGCTAAAACACCAAATACACTTTTATTTTTGTCCAAATTATTTCAGGTAACTTGTGTTAAGTTTTAAAAATGTACTGTTGATGAGGTGGCGCCAATTTGCAACCGTGCTAGTTCGAGACATACGTTTTATTAAACTCATCGTGTTACGTATTTGTTGACATTAAGAGATAGAAATTTAAAGTGTTGTCTTGTATTACTTCGAATGAAAATTAGTTTTCTAACCTAAGGAAAAAGTTGAGTTGGGTCTTAAGTTAAGAAACGTATGGATTTACGAATTTTCTGTAGAACATGTTATTTTAAAAGGTTTGAATTATCGCCCATTTTTGTTTAACGAAATATGAAAATAGCCCAATCTGCGACTGGTCGCAGAATCGGAAAAAGTAGCCCAATCTGCGATAAATCGCCCAATCAACCCTGCTCGGGAACAACATTTTAATTGACTGTGATAGTGTGATGTAATTTTTTCTAAACAAAGCAACATATTCATGTTATGTTATGGGTTTTCAGGTACACTGAGACCTAAAATATCTATTATGTCCCTTCTGCCTTTTAGATTCCCATTTTTTTCCTGCAATATTCCTGCAAACCATTAGGGCTTTTGTAGCTTTATTTATTATTACTTCCTTCTCTTGTATATTCCAGAGAAATTCTACGTCCATTCCTTCTAATTTGATGGTTTTGAGATTGAGTTCTCTTTCTCTTGAGGTAGTTCACTCGTAAAACGGCTTTTCTTAAGAATTCAATAAAATTGAAATATAAGGTTAATGAAGATGTCTTTTATGTAACTACAAAAATTAAATTTTTTGACCGTCTGTGAAACGAGATATTAACAATCAAAATGTGCATAATTAACACTCTTGAAGCCTGTCATGTACACAAGCAATGCATTTATTTCAAGATATCTCGAAAACGGTTTTTACCATATTTTTTAAAAATTAATGTAATGTAAATCAAGAAGTTATAAAATTTTCTAAAATAACGCTGAATTTTTTGACCGTCTTAGTAAAAAGATATAGATTTTTAAAATAAAAATAATTTAAAAACAATCGACACGTAGTTGCGTAAAATGATTACAACTTGGCAACATTGTATACGCTGCAATCAATGCGTGGTACCAAAATAACACTCGATCAGCTAAAAGGTTGTTATAACCTCGCGACGTGTTTTTGAAAAATTAATTCATCCACTGTATTTGAGAACTGGAATCAGCGGTTCTGTTTGAACCAAAACAAACCCTTAAAATTAGTATGAGGAAGTCACAAATTTATGTAGCACACCATTCATATATTTACCAGGTTGTCGGATGGATTTTAATAAAATTGTAACTTATCCATATATATAAGCTTACATGTGTTTTGTACAGTCTCTTACAAAAACAAAATTGATTATTATTGAGAATCTCGAACTATTGGTATTCACCATTATGCGATATTTTTATGTACGACTGTCTTGAGTGAACTACCTTAAAAAGGCTACTAGTGTTGTTTTGATGGGGTTTATATTAATTCCCACCTTGCCTTCTGCTAACAAAATATCCTAAAATCTCAAAAAACCTGGGCTCTTGGCAAGACATTGTCTCTGCTAAAATTTTACTAGAAAAACGTTTCACGAAAAAAATCTGATGACTCAATCGAGTTCAAACTCGTACTGAAGTTGCATCACATATTCACTAGCCGCCCCTCCAATTTCTGAGCCTCGAGTGTTGCTAAATCAGACGCTACATTGCCAGTGTCATTACTTTATACATTTCATATAATTGAATTTTGTAATCTTTCAGGATCAAAACATGGAACAAGACACTGAAGACCAAGATGAAAATGTCGAACCGAAAGAAAGAGGCCGACCGCGCGGATCAAAACGAAAACGAGACCTTTTGTCAGATCTACAAACTTGGGGTTGGTACAGCAGAAGGAAACTATCGAAAAAAGCGAAAGAAAAAGATTTTACCGTCGAAGACGCGTTCGAACGGATCATTCCTAAAACTTTGCTACCGCAAAGAATCGATCCTGAGAAGTTTTCCACCTTCGAAGACTCGATGAACACGATGGACTTGTACAATATGTACATGGAAAATTGCAATGTTAACTATTTATCACCTATTCACTCGCCGAAATCCGTAAACTACGAACAGTATTTCGGCACCGAGAAAGAACGAGATGACGTCCAGGAATTCTGGACGAAATCTCGCGAATACGTCGACGCCGTAGTTTTAATCAAAGACTTGGTGTTCAATCTATCGAAAATTTGGCACTACAAGTGGCCTAAAGAATTGGTTGCTCTCTACTTGAAAGCCTACAGCATGTTTCGAGAACATTGCGATCCACCGCAAGTATTCTGCGGCGGACATACGTTCGAAGAGCTGAGAAACGATGGTTTGGCGTCCGTATTATACGGCGAGTTGAACGTTTTCAGCAGCGACGGTAAAGAAACCGTACCGCCCACGCTGATCGGATACATGAGACTCATTAGCGGTTGGGAGGATAAATGGAAAGAGGAGTACCCTTCGTTCTTCCTTCGCGTATTTTGGTTGCAATCGCATTTGTTCCGGAAAGAAAACAACAACGATTTAGCCATAAATTCTTTACATCTGATACAAGAAGCGATGGAGGAGGAGGAATCCAAGCAAAAGGAAAAGTACATGCTGAGTTTACCGAATTGCTTCAAATACGGTTTGATAAATACAGAAATCATCGATAAAATTCTCAAACACTTGGACGTGATCAGTTCGTTGGGATCGGTAGAAAATTTGTACAATTCAGAAAAGTACAAAGAGGTCGCCGATATACTTAAAGCGACTTTTAACGGAGGCCCGTGCCCGCAGGTCGGACGTATGGGACGTCAAGCTCAACTCGGCATCCTGATTCACTCACTTTGGTACATCGATAAAGCGGAATGCTTCGTTTGGACGGAGGAATGCTTAAACGAGGCGTTCGAACAATATTTAAAGTTCGGCAAAGAGCAGGATAAGTGGGAAAAAATTTTGGAAAAATGTTTGGCCGTGTTGTACGAAATCGTTAAGAGCGACACGATTTGCGTGACGGATTACTTGAAAGAAATCAATCGGGCGAGAATCGTTGAAAATCTGGCCAAAATTATATCGAAGCAATTAAATTCCGAGGGTAATAGGAATCATATCATCTGCTTGAAGCCATGGATTCTTCTGCACTTTGTGCTTCAAAGGTAATTTATTTAAAATATTTGTAGAAGGGTTAATCCTTGTGCACCGCACCTGACGTGTTTGTAGTGGAAGTAATATTTGACAGTTACTTTATTTTCCTTATTCCTAATCATACCTGGAATCGTAACTAAAAAGAAAAGTAACACATTACTTTATCGTTACTTTTGCTGCTAGGTAATATTTTTTTTTATATGTTTCTTTATAACCTTTTTAACGACACCAAATATGTTGGGTACTACAAGAATATCAAGATAACTTTATCTTAGTTTCTAGTTGGGATGTCAATCCCCTCGGGAGTCCCGGAATTCCAGAGGAAAACCTGTCTCGAAAATACCGGGATTAGACCGAATCCCAGGATAAATACCGTTTTTTATGTATGTGGTCGGAGATGTACTCATCGAAAAGCCTTTAAATTTTATTAACCATTCAGTCCACAAACGTGGAATCTAAGAGATGTTTCTCTTCTGCAGGGTTTTTATGTAATAAAGTACTTTCAAAGCTGGGAGATGACATTTTAGAATCATTGAGGCACTAATATTTTTGCGGTATTTGTTTTTAAATTAATAAACCTAAAACTTATTTGTTGATATTTACAACACTCTTCCTTGAGTTAAGGTTCCATTAATTTATTAATAAATACGAAACGCCATATCTAGACCCAGAGTTCATGAATATGTGGGTCTTACAAATAACAAATTTAATAATTTCACTCAAAAAGAATTATTTACTTAGTTACTGCACAAAATTAATACAAATACAGAATTTAATATCTAACATCACACTATTATTTAAACCTGAAAATGTCAACTAAGTAGAGTCAGTTAGAATATTTTTAATTTTTTTTAAGAGGTCAATAGTCCTTATGTTCTTTATGATGCTTGGAAGATCATTGTACTGTCTTAGACCATCCGATAGTATGCTTCGGTCACCTAAGCATGTTCTTGCGGCTGTGGTTATGTAGCAGAGGTTGTTCCTGATGGTATTGTATGCATGGATCTCATTGTCAGTAGTCAGTTGTAGGAATGAGTGCATATTATTCAAAGACAGTTGGCATGTTTGATATTTAGAGAAGCACTGGATGTCTAGAATATTATTTGGTCAATAAAAAAGATCAGTAGGATGATAAAATAGAAGTTGAATTTTTTTTTCTGATAGCCCTATTCTGTAAAATTTGCAAGGGTTTTAGTCTATTTTGGGAAGTTTTACTCCAAATGAGAGTTAAATATGATAGATGTGAATGGATTAGTGAATGATATACGAGTCTTTCTTAAGTCAGGACTAATTTTTTTACACAATTGAGTAATATGATGTTCCCAGTTGAGCTTGGAATCTATATACACTCCAAGATATTTATTGCATTCTGTCCTATTTAACTGTTCACTGTCTGTTTATTTGAAATTGGTTCCATTCAGGCTTTTTTGATACCACCATTGTATTTAGATCAACTAGTAAAACAATACCAATGCAAATTATCTTGGAGGACAATGGACAGTATCAATAGATGGCAGCAAGCTCCGTGGTGTCCAAGTCATGTCTTTGATAATTTTGTCGTCTTCGAAACGAACGTAATTTCTCTATTTACTAATAGATGGCCACATAATCGATTCAGAATATTTGTTTTAAAAATGGAATATACGAGTTTAATTATGCTTGTTGTACATTCATTTACGATTTATTATCATTTTAGAGAATATAAACAATAGTAATTTAAATTTAGCACCCTACCCATATGAATTTAAAAATCAGGAAAATTTTATGTACATAGAATTCTGTACTCAATGATCGAGGAAGTGCTAGCGTTCGGGCTATTTTGATGAATTTCTAACAGATGTCGCGACAGAATTGCCTCCAATGAAACGTCCATAAGGTTGTTCTACTATCTTCTCTAAATACAATGATACCACTAAAAAATTTTGACTTTTCAGTATTGTTATGCGAGCCATTTCATTATTCAGTCATGCTCTATCCCTCCAAGTCCCTCTCTGTCTTATTTGGCCTTTGAGGCTCAACTTGTCCGATTATTATACATAATTAAACCCCTTAAGACCAAACCTACTTAAGATAACCGACATCTCATTTGGGTTATTCTTGTGTAGAATCGATAAATAATCACATTTCTGTTTTTATTTCGTCCATAATTATAAATAATTTGTTTGTTTAAATAAAACTATATGAAGTCAGTTTAATTACGCCTTCCATACATTAGACTCGAGTTCGATTCTCGGATGGGGAAAAATTAAATGAACTTTTTTCTTTTTCGTTTTTTTTTTTAAATTATTAAAAATTATAAATTATTTAAAAATAACCCAAAATATTTTTTTATTTGTACATTTTCGTTAGTGGGTCGTAGAAAAAATATACTGTACAACTCGAGTGGATTGTCCACATCGCACTCAGACGATTGAGCACTCCGCCTACGGTGTCGTGCTCAAATTTCTTCGTGCGATATGGCCATCATATATATCCACTCTTGTAGCACAAACATCTATTTCATTTTTAACTGAAATGCATTGTTTTATTTGCATTTTCTGTATTCACTTAAAGAGTTATCAATAACAGCCATTTAACTGGAGTATCCATTCATTTAAGTTAACAAAGTTTAGTGAATCAATGAGGTAATCATGGTTTCTGTTGTACATATAATTTACATCTAAACAGTTATCTGACTTATTACGTACTGAGCGAGCATTTAAGTATAATATAGAAAAACAGATTGATTTGCTTCAATTTTAAACTCATCAATATTATAAAATTTGGGACTTGAATTAGCCATTTAAAAAATGTAAATTATTCAACAGTCTGTAGTTGACAGTAGTTTTCTTTTATTTATATTAGTTATTACTTTCACTTAGACGATCTATGTGTTCTTTGCTCTTTATTCGAACTAAAAGTTCACCATCGTGTTTTCTTATATACACTTTACCATTTTTTAACCACAAAAATTTATAACCATAATTCTTTTTTAATATATACGCCATGTTAAACAAGTTCCGATTAGTGGTTGTAACTTGTTCATTCACATAGATAGTGGATTCTTTGGTATTTTTGCATCAATTCTACGTCCTTTGCGGATATATAGGTACTTTTTTATTTCCTGTTAGAGAATTTTGTAATTAATATTTTTCCTTGTTTGTTTTCTTTGTATAGCATTCACAGATATCATTATTTAAAATTTAACTTTGATATAAAGCATTAGCAATTTCTAATAGAACAGTCTTACGGTCAGCTGGAATTTTAATTTCTATACCATGTATCTCAAGATTACAGGCTACCTCCTTCATCTCCATTTCATTAATGCGTTCTTCGAGTTGATTTACCTTAATTGTAAGAGTTGTATTTTCGTTTTTTAGTGCTCTTAGTTCATTAAGAACCCAATTATTTTCTTTGACTAAATGATCAAATTTAGCAAACATAAATGTAACGGCATCTTGTAAGTCGTTCAAACTCTTCAAAACTTCTGTAGAAGACATATTTAGAGCCTGTGAGGTAACACTGATACTGCCGACTGGGTTCCAACCTTTTTACGCACTCTGGACATTTTATAGATCCATTAAAAATTGTACAAATTCTTTTAGCACAAGTTTCATGGAAGTAGTTCTTCTTAAACTTTTATCCATCCTGCGGTGAGCTGATTAAATTTTGGTCATAGTCGAAGCATCTGGGGGGTACGTTATAGGGTGTATTTTTTTTTACTTTAAGAAATATCTCTGTAATTTATGATTGAAGAACATTCTTCAAATAAAAGTTGTTTGTGATATCATTCTCTATAATTTTTATTCTATACTTGTCATGCGACCACCAAAGTTTTTGTGAAAAACCTTACCTTATAGGAAAACTTAAAATTTTCCGACACCATCCAATAGAGAAATTTTTAAAACGCATTTGTATTAATTTTTCATACATTTCTGAATAAAAGGAAAAGTTTCGTGTTTTTTTTTATTTCCCCTCTCCCTGAGACATCAATCGACACGTCCGAATAAAATTTTTAAGGTTTTTTTCTTCATCTGCTCTTTTAATCAAAGTTTTACTCGAAAAAGCGTTCGACCATGATATTCCCCGAAAATGCGCTTCAGAAAAAATTCGATGCTAGATTGTTAACAATGCCGAGTAGTATGCGCAAATTTTTAAATTTGTTTTTGTCGTAAAATTGGTGAAAACCCACTTTCCAAAAGGAAAAATCAAAATTTTCCTAAACCATTTGAAAGAAAATCTTATTCTTTGCATGGGTCATGCTGGGACATAGAGCTACCAAGTATTTTAGAGGTAAAAAATAAGTCGATTGGACCCAATTTTATACAGGGTGTTTAAGAAAACATGGGCCAACGTTCCAGGGTAGATTCCTCACATAAAATAAGCCTTTGTTTTTTTTTTGCTCATATCAAACATAGGCCCGAGTCAGAGTCAAATTTAAAAAACTAAGAGAAAGAATGATGTGATTTGGACAATTAGAAAAATCCAACAGGGGCATATTCTGATATGTTAATCGAATGCATGTGATTTGTAGGACTTGACTTACAGGCAGGTTCATAAAGGAAAATAAAATAAAAATTAAACCTGGACCAGTAATTATATCCAGTTACTGGTACACTATTAATGAAATAACAAGTAAATTTAAAAAATTTACAGAGAGGAGCAAAGAGCATATGCGAAAAAGAGAATTAAGAAAGGAAAAAAACCCGATGCTGGACTTGATAACGATGAACCTCCAGAAAATACATTGCCGCCATCTGTAGCCATTATATTTTCGGCACACGAATTTTTAGGTAAAAATAAATTTTTCTTATCATTTATTTTTTAAATATTTTTTTTCTTTTTCTCTAGGTCCTAAAGGATGGTGTATGACAAATCAAGGAGAAATACTTCATTTTATAATTGATACAATTCTAGATAAAATCGATACTCCAATTTTTGAACGTCTGAGAGATAAAATTGATATTCACATTGAACAATCTATGTTTTGTTTATATCAACATCCTAGTAAGAAAAATAAAGTAAGTAATTTTCATTTAACAATAATCCAAAACCTAGCACAAGAAGAATTGGTCATGCTCTTAATATACCTAAAAGATACTACGGTACAGCGACGACTAAGAAAAACATCATCTTTACCCATTTCAGGTGTTGATTTAAAACAAAAAATTAAGAAGAATCGTTATTCGCTGTGTGCAAGACTGGTAGCGCTCTCTGGTAACGGGATAGCGACAGTTCTCCTCATTCATTCCCGCATACTTGCTATACACCTCACACTCAACAGTTGAACTTGAAAATTCTTTTTCAACAATTAAGTGTTGCAACAAGTTTTGTGTTCGCTGTTGATAGACTAACAAAAATTGTTTCTGTCGCACAAAAAGTAAGTAAATGACATAAAAATATTTGGAGGTTATGCATACGAAGTATCTGCGTTTTGAATGTCATAAATCAATGTAATTTGTCTGTATTTTTAGATGCTACATTTTTAAAAATGAAACGACATACATACGATTACATACATGGTTACAAATATTATTACATATCATTTGCTATCGTTTTCACTGAAGATAGGTGATTGTAAATTCGTCAGTACACAACATATGTGTACAATATTATCGATGTTATCAAAAAGATGTTCTTGGATTTTATCTAAAATTTTGTACACTCTCAATCTTTGCATAACACTCTCAACGTGGATTCGAACTCTTGCTATGCTATACGTTGCCTCAGTTTCGTCTGCACTGAATTCTGATTTTTTTTCCAAAAAAAGAGGCATCACGACTGTTACTTTTTTACCCTTTGCATCCACTATTTCTTTAATTTGCGGAAATCCTTTGTCTGCCAAAACAACATCGCCTTCTTCTAGTAAATCTATCAAACCAGATTCTACTGTCAACTGAGAATCGCTTTTTCTTCCCCCAGAAACTTTGGATTTGAAACTAATGAATCCAGATGGGGTGATTCCAATAAGCAGCTTAGCTGTAAAACCTTTCTTGTAATGTGAATAACAGAGAATCCTGTTATCTACTTTCGAGGGACACTGAATTCTGAATTCCGTACAGTCTATGATCACTCGAGTATTTTCATAATTTGGCTTAAAACATTGTGGCATCTCTTTGGCCAGAAAACGAAATTTTGTGTGGCAGCAGATAAGTATTTTAAAACCGAAAAAAAAACTCTTGACACGGTTGTTCTATGCACGTCAAATAACACGGCGATTGCTGAAAATGTCAGATCAGTTTTAATTTTCATTAAAAAAAGTAGAAGTCGATTTTCTTTGGAGAACTTACTATGATCTGACCCGTCCTTTAATCGCTTTAATAATAAATTAAAATTCTCAAATGTCACTCCTGCGAAGTCTAAAAGTTGTTCCTCTTTTTTAATTGACAAATATCCAGCAAATCCTGAAAATTCTGGTGCGTTCAAGTTTTCATTTTCTACATCGGGCCCTACACTCACATTTGCATAACTCTTCGATTCTGTGCCACACTTTTTATCTTTACATTCTTTCCTGTTTGGAGTGATTATCGCGCGTAAATTGTCATTTATATTAGTTTGAATTTCCACATCCCACGTAGATTTACCATCGAACCCAATTCTATTACAAGTAAACGTTCTGTCAAATTTTTCATCAATGAACGATGTAACTTGACATCCTTGGTCAATAGTTTTCAGGATGTTGCACTCTATTTGAACATCCTCTAATGTATCTCGAGTTCCATCATCTAACTTGAATGATGGTTCAAGAACTTTTTTCCGGCGTGAAACAATTGTACAGTTTATCTCGTCTATTTTCCGCTTCATAAAACGAGCATGTCTGCAATAAAAACATATTATCCTGTGTTTTATAGAAACCTCTATGAATTTAATGAGTTAACATTTTAATTGAAGTATACCTATTCACGGCTGCGATTTGATTTGCGCTTTTTTTCGCATCTGACCAAGGAAATATTGTCGGTACATAACTTGGGCTACTTTCTTCTTCTCGTTTTTTATTTCCAATAAAATGACCACACCATATATAATCATTCCGTTTTGGCACCCAAGGTGAACCATCAGCGCTGTGGAAAAACCATTAAATCTTTACGTTATAAATAATTTATTTATCATTATTACTTGAGCATTCAAATACCGCTCCTACTTTCGATGTTTATGATATATATACGACAGAGGTTATGTTACTCACTTTTTTCTTTTCACAGCTGCTATCCATTTCTTTCTTTGCTCCAATTTATGTGATGCGGTTGGAAACGTATAAAACTTACACGCACTATTTTTGCTAGTGTTTTTACACTCGACAACACTACAATAACGACGACTCATTTTAATACCCAACACGAGACCCACAACACGCTGCCGCGCTACTACGATGATGTGGACAATCGCCGACTCCTGTCACCATAGGCGCTGCGATAGCTCAATCTATCCCCTCCAAGCCAAATGCACACAGCGAATATGGACGTATATCATCAGAGGTCTTAAATACGGACCTGTAATTACATTTTCTAGTGGTGTAGATGCATACAATACAAGTATTAAAAATATACATATTTAAATAATCTTAATTTTAACTTAATAAAATTAATAAAAGCTCGTCCTTTTGCATTTTCTATGACCGAAAATGTTAAAAAACCATTTGGACTTAAAATTTTAGTAGCAAAATCATTTTCGCAAAAATAAGAAACACATCATCAGTTTTTGGGCTGTTTTCAAATATGAAAAAAGAAAATTTAAATTCTGATAACATAAAGGGTTTTGTTTTATGGATGAATCATTTTTTAATTAGTCGGTCTATATAATAAACATTTTTCATTCCGTACTGCTAGAGTCAGTAAACCGAAAGCACCTTGGTTAACTCCTACCATTAAGGTAATCTCTTATTTAGAGTATTTAAACAGTCAATCTCCATCAAAATTGTATAAGGCACTAAAAGAGATGAAAATTATGATATTCCTTCATCTCTATCAAAGCCATTTGAAATCAGTAGTTACTTTTCATCAGTCTTTCAGGACAGTGATCATAAATGCTTTAACTCCATTTGGTTCTATAGAAATAATACTTATAACAAAAATATCAGTTTTCATTTTAGACCTATAACTGTTTCCACGCTTTATAGTATGATTCTGAATATTAAGTCAAATGCCGGAGGAAGTGATGGTATTAATGCAGATGTTAAAACTGTGTTTAAAAGTAATAGATATGTATTTGCGGCATATCATAAATTTATGCCTGGAACAAGGTTATTTCCCACGATCTTGGAAACGCAATAGTTATTCCAGTGCCAAAGAAATGGAATCCAACCTCATATAATGAACTACGGCCTAGAAGACTTCTTTCATTAATATCAAAAATACTCGAATGTGTTGCCTATATTCAAATCTATGAAAACTTTACAAAGAATAGTATAATTCCACTTCACCAATCTTGCTTTCAGAAGGGGGTTAGCACTACAACAGCTTTGGCATATCTATCTGATGACATTTTCAACAGCATTGACAAGAAAAGAGCAGGTTTATTAGTTCTCTTAGACTTCAGTAAAGCATTCGATAGGATAATTCACAAATTTCTCTCTGCTAAATATTACCCGACAGTGACCTATAACAATTAATTATCAATTTCATTAAAATTATAGCTAATAGCACCAATTTCAAAATGTTGTTCCAAGCAATCTTATTCCCCGGCATCTTAAAGTAGGTCGACAGTAAAAAGTTAAAATTATTAATATGTAATAAATTAAGCAAATCTTATATCATTTAAACATAAAATATTCAGATTTTTAAATAATAATAGAATATTACTTTCTAAAAAATTAATTTTCTTCATGTTCAAAGTTTTGACATTAAGTAACAATAGTTGTGGCCTAAATTTTAATACTTATTTTTAAAAGTGTTCTATTACCCCTAGACGTATTGTTCGACGATTTTGGTTCACCTTTTGCTTTTCTTAAAAAAATTATTTTTTTTATAGGTATCTCGACATCTGGCTGATCATAACGTGGATCCTATTCCGTTGTCATGGGAACGAGCATCTCAATTATTCGAGTTCTATGGCCCAGATTCTTTGCCAGAGTTTAACTCTTACAAGAACGCTTCAATTTCTGCCGACTTGGAACAATTGTTCAAGAGAATTATCGCTCTGGTCCCGTCAAATAACGCTCCTCAACAACACTTACCTAAAATTATGGATTACATTCACGGCAAGACCGACAAAGTGATGAACCCCATCGAATTTCCTCGCAAAGTAAAAGCTATTTACTACCTCATAGGAGATTTTTATTTCAAGCAAAAGGAGTTCAGCAAATGCATAAAATATTTTCAAATGGACCTGTGCATTAATCCCGATCGTTTGGATTCTTGGGCTTGTTTGGGTTTAAGTTATGCCGCTCAATTGGATACGAAGCTCAATCATTGTGAGAAATTCAAAAGCGAGATGGAATTTTTGGAAAAAGCAAAATACGCTTCTATTTGTTTCAAAAAATCTTTGGAAATATGTCCGGATCCTCTTATGTTGTGGATAGAATACGGTACTTTTCAATATACCGCTCATTCTTATTGTTCGAGAATCATGAAGTTTGAGTCAGAAAATTTGAGTATGGAAAAGTAAGTGATTTTGAATTTTATTGAATTTAACATTTTTGTTAATGGCAGTAATGTTATTTTGACAAATCTATTTAGTAGCTTTCTAGACAGATATCAAATTAGAATTTAAGTTCAGTATATAAACATTAATTTTTTGATTGTTTCGGCCATTACTTGATGAACAAATTTGAAGAAGAATCTGAACTTTGAAACAATTGTTATGTCGTGTAATTTTTATTTTTTAAATAAAAGTGAAAATCTACCAAGTTTGGTTTTTATCATTTTAATATAAGGTCTGTTCGTAAAGACAGTTTTAAATGGTTGATGATTTTCTTATAATGCGCATGCGCGATTTCTAACGGTTTGGGAATTATTGTCATTTTGATGCTCTGCGAAAGCATTTTGTACGGTTAAGGATTCTTCTCTACCTATTCTCGTGAGTTAGATACAGCTTTAAATGAGCGGGCAAAAAAAGGAGAGATTATACAATAATATAGTACAAAGTTATACAATAATCATATCATTTACAATAATACCTACTCAAAAATAAAAACTATCAATTTTAACAGTGCTTTCTTTACGAACATAAAACTATGAAAGAAAATATCTACGTTAACTATATTTGACAACTGATTGCAAGTTTTTGATATTCTACAGAGGGGAGCATTTAAATAGTAGTTGGTTGCTGCCTTGTTAAGAAAAAATTTATTAATATTTCTAGTATTATAATTGGGGCAATTAAATTGTATATCCTTCTGTTATTCCTTTTCCCAGATTTGAATTTCTCGAAAATCAAAAGAACAGTTACTTGGACAGTTCCGGAAACAGTTTCGAAAAAGCAATTGCCATTTATGAAGTCGATGAAACAAATGAAGCGGATGAAAGGTGGTTGCAGTATTACATTTTGGGAAAAATTGCGGAAAAGAAACAAAAAGAACCGACTGAATATTTACAGTATTATTTAACAGTAAGTTTTTGACTGGATTGCAGTTTAATATACTCGTGTTTCCATATTTATGGTTTTGTTGAAATGTTTATTGAGGTAACTCTGACAAACATGTTTAAAAAAAAATTCTTTATTATCCATGGGCCTGTTACATAACATTTAATTTAGTTACAAGTGCTTTATAATGTACTATTTACACTAATAGGATAGAGTAGTAAACTGAGGATTAAACTATAAACCAGGTGCCCACGAAAATATAAGTGTTTGTGAATAAAATTTATAGCTAAATATATATAAATTATACAAGATTTTGCTAAAAAAAAAAAACGAATTAGTGCTATAAAATCGGTTATTGCTTTCCTATCACAATTTTTACATTGTCGCCTTAAATATACTTTCTTCCACGATCCCTACACCCTTCATGCATATTTTTTATTGTCCATAGCAGTACTGTTAATAGTTTTTTTAGGCATGTTCATCGTCTCTCCAGCATTTTCTTTGGCAGCTCTAAAATCTGGTTTCATTCAGTGCCGATTTGAGCTTGGGCAATAAAACAAAGTCACATGATGTGAAATCCGGTTTTTGGGTGGATTTTCTAAAATGTAACGCGATGACATTCACACGTAAAAAAATTGAAATACACTACGACTACTTAATTGGTTCTACGCGTTTAAACAGACAAAATTATATTAAGGACTTGGGAGGTACTTTTAAACCGAAGTTAAGTTTTGTTCCACACATTAACGACGTAGTTACTTCTCCCTTTCGAATTCCTGGATTCATTCTCAGAAATATGAGTGATTTCAGAAGTATAGACACATGCAAAATAATATTTAGTTCACTCGTTATATCCAAACTCGAATAAGCAAGCGCAGTGTGGTCTCCAATATATGATGTTCATATTGCAAAACTAGAAAAGGTACAGAGACGATTTTTGAAAAGTCTCCATTTTAAAATTTACGATTATTACCCCCTCGCGGATTTCCACAGGATCAGTTGCTTCAATATTTTAATTGTGTAAATCTTCAAGATCGTCGAGTAATGCATTCTATACCATTTTTGTATAAACTCATGAACTACAAAATTAATTGTGCCGAACTTTTGTCGCAAATACGTTTACGGGCTCCTCGTATTATCCTAGTTGGTGTATCATTGCGTTATATTTTCTTACCTTCGTTTCTTGGATTAGTTCACTTTTTTTCACTCTGCTAACTCTCAAAGCATTTTTACGTACCTGAAAATCTTCAAAACGTCAGAGTTAGATGATATCTAGATTTTTCCCACAAGAGTCCATATCCGTATATACGCCCGTCAAATAATCTAATTGCAAGTACAAAAAATAGATAAATTAATGAACGGTCCAAAGTTGAAACGCTATAGGGCTCTTTCAGACACAACGGAAAAAATTCGTACGATTTTTTCCGTGTCTTGGTAGAATTCACACTCGACGGTTTTCTTTTCCGTGAACCATCTTTAGCTATTGTATTTTATGTCAGTTGGTTATCGACATGAATCGAAAGCGCACCTTTGCCATGTGGCTTTTGTACCGTCCATATACAAAAATATCGGAAACGACATAGGGGTCTATTCTGTAACAATTCCTTTATATTTAACGGCCTTTAAAAATATTGGCGGCCTATAAAAATATGTTCGTATTCGTTAATTTACTTCGGTCATTATTTAAACAGATTTCTTTAAGATAGTCCTCTAATGTATTTTAAAGATCCGTTTAAATAATGACAGAAGTAAAGAAGAACAAATTTTTAAAGGCCGTTAAATATAAAGGAATTGTTACAGAATATACCCCATAATCATATATACTAGGTGCACCAAATTAATCAGAAAAGAGATGAAGTGGGCCCATTCATTTGCTTAATGGAAGATTTACGTGCCGACGAAAATACAATTTTTAATTACCTTCGGATGTCCATTCTATCCTCTGATGAACTTTATAACCGACTAAAAAACAATATTCAGTGGCATAATACTAAAATGAGAAACTGCATTGGAAATAATAGTTGTGACACTGAAGTAAAAGAGTTCTATCGTTTGTTGCGTTACTAGTTTATTAACTACAAAATCAAAAAACAAAAAAAAATCAATGTCAAACTACTAGTTTATAATATTGTCATTAATTCATGGTCATACTGACGCGTAAACCAAAATACAAAATATTTGTGATAAATAAAAACCAAACGGCACGCAATAACGGACGGCAGACGACTAAAAATCGTCATATATGAAAGCCTGCATAAAGTTACATAGGCCACTGATAGACGGCGACGGTACGGTACCGTACAGTTCAGTCGTTGACACGGCTGTTTTCAAATCGACTGTACGGAAAAAATCCGTCTCCGCCCAGTATGAAAGCTGTAGTTAATTTTATTAGTTTACTATCAACGATGCACGGAAAAAATCCGTACGAATTTTTTCCGTACGGACGAAATCGTTGTGTCTGAAAGAGCCCTTACGAGGATCGTCCACTAAACGGTCACTTGTTTGTTGGAACGATTCTCTGTTAGAACAAACCTAATACAAGTTTATTATTCTCCTGTTAGTGAGAACTATTAAATATATACCTTAAATTATTTTAGGCTAGTACACTTTTGGAAGAAAACAATGCACAATATCCAGAAAAAATCCACTATAATAACCCTCAACATTTATCAGTGGAAGCTTTGGAGCTTCACTACAGAATCCACGCTTCGGTATTGAAATATTTAGAGCTGCACGAAGGTAAAGATATACCAAACAGTTTAGGAGCGTTCTTCAAAAAGTGTATGAGTGGTTCGAAGTATTTGAAAAAACCTGCGCCGCCGCCTCCTCCTGCACCACCACCACAAATCGTGCCTGAACCGGTCCCATCAACAGAACCTCAAGAACCCGATTTGTCAACCAAGGTTTCAAGTTCTGTTGGCTTCCAAGAGCAGTTCTTGAACTCGTTAAATAAATTAGGTGCAGCTGATGCGAAAGAAAACAAAACTGACGAAAAAACACCTGTTACTAAAAGTGATGATTTATCTACTAGTATCGCTGAGCCTGGACCAACCCAAGTAACGCTTGATGCCCAAAAATCTGGCGATGATTCAGAGGACGTTATAATTTTATCCGATTCTGATGATGATGTTAAAGTGATTGAAGACACAAATGAGGAAGAAGAAAAAGTTAATAAAATTGACAAGACTGAAGAGAGTGAAAAAATGGTAACAGATGGCGAAATTAATGATGAAGGAAAAGAAATTGAGATCGTGAAAGGAGCAATAGTCGAAACAGCTGAAAATGGAAAAACTGAAGATGAAATGGATGTTAGTGAAAATGTTAAAACCGAACTTAAAGATCTGACTTGTAAAATTAGTGATAATTGTCCAATCAAAAATGAGGAAATACAAAATAATGGTACTACTGAAAAAGAAGTGTTTGTAGAAAGCGTTCAAAATGAATCTGAAATTAAAATCGAGGAACCCAAAGAAAATATTGAAGCGGTTGATGAAAAAACAGGTAGGTAGTTGTAACAGAATAATATAATGTTTATAAGTAGGACATTTTAAAAAGTAGAATAATTGTTTTTTTTCCAAGGCCTACTTTATAAAGATTTTTATTTATTATTTTATACATTCATTTCTATTTGAAAGTTAAGATTGGTCATGTAAATCTGGTTAGTATCTGGTAACAGTTATAGCAATAATTTCCCTTCCAAAATAACTTATATCCTTTCAAAATTCCCGAGCTATCCTTTCAAAATTCTTGTTTCGAAGATCTACCTTGCTCAAAGTGGAAAAAGTTTTTTGAAAATTGGTTGTTACATAATTCCCCTTATAGTTATCATATAAAATTTCATTACAAAATTAAATATTTTTAGAAGTTCCAAAAGACAATATAGAAGTTGACGACGGCGGTAAGAGTAAAACCAAAGTTAAGGACGTTCAAAAATTCCTGGATGATATGATGGAGCAGACGATGAAAGAAACTGAAGAGTTGAGAAATGAAGCGGATTCCGATCTAAGCGGTACTGAAAAAGTCGAAGAGGTTGTAATAAACAACGAACAGGAAAATGAAGAAGTCAACGTCAGAAAAGAAGAAGAAATAGTGGCTGTACCTAAAAAAATTATAAGCGATGGAGGTGGAACAGATAATGACAATAAACGGGTGAGCAATTTTTTTTTGTTTGGAACCTGTTCGTAATATTTTATTAATTTATATTTGGACTTAATGGTGTAATTTCTGACTTGTAATAGTAAAATTGTCAAAATTACGCATTTGTTAGGTGACGTCATACATTAGTCTGTATATATTTTAAATTTTTATCAAAAACTAGGCTAAGCGCAAAAAAGACAAAAAATAATATAAAAAAAATAAAACAAAAAATAAATTACCTAAAGAAATAAAAAAAAATTAAATTAATTTAAAAAATTAAAAAAATTAAAGAAAAATCAAAGAAATATCAAAGAAATATCAAAGAAATATCAAGGAAATATCAAAGAAATATCAAAGAAATATCACAAAAATTTCAAAGAAATATCAAAGATATATCAAAGAAATATCAAAGAAATATCAAAGAAATATCTATCAAAGAAATATCTATCAAAGAAATATCTATCAAAGAAATATCAAAGAAATATCAAAGAAATATCAAAGAAATATCAAAGAAATATCAAAGAAATATCAAAGAAATATCAAAGAAATATCAAAGAAATATCAAAGAAATATCAAAGAAATATCAAAGAAATATCAAAGAAATATCAAAGAAATATCAAAGAAATATCAAAGAAATATCAAAGAAATATCAAAGAAATATCAAAGAAATATCAAAGAAATATCAAAGAAATATCAAAGAAATATCAAAGAAATATCAAAGAAATATCAAAGAAATATCAAAGAAATATCAAAGAAATATCAAAGAAATATCAAAGAAATATCAAAGAAATATCAAAGAAATATCAAAGAAATATCAAAGAAATATCAAAGAAATATCAAAGAAATATCAAAGAAATATCAAAGAAATATCAAAGAAATATCAAAGAAATATCAAAGAAATATCAAAGAAATATCAAAGAAATATCAAAGAAATATCAAAGAAATATCAAAGAAATATCAAAGAAATATCAAAGAAATATTAAAGAAATATCAAAGAAATATCAAATAAATATCAAAAAAATATCAAAGAAATATCAAAGAAAATAATATCAAAGTTAATTATAGGTAAAACTAGGACCCCTGCGCTGAGGGGTACCACCCAACTTAAATTGCCAGTAAGGCACATACAAACTTATATATGACACGTGAAACTCTTAACTGTTTTCACCTGGCTTTGTTCAAATCGATTTCCGATATAGACCTGTCAGATGTAATTACTGACATTGTTGATCTCAATGATGTATATGTTTCTTGTAATGATTCGGATAACTTAGTAAGAGTTGTTAATGAAACTGAAAAATGTTTATAAATGGTGTTGCAATAATTTGTTAAATATCAACACAAATAAAATAAAATATGCTGATAAATAATAATTACGGCTATGTGCAATTTGTTGAAAAACAACATAATATCTCAATTCGGGGGTGGGTGGCTCAGTGGTAGAGCCTCTGCCTGTGGATCCAAGGGTCCCAGGTTCGAATCCCACCGTTGGCCGGAATTTTTTCATTTAATTTAATTATTTAAAATTAATTCTGATGCCTTGGTAGGATTCCCCACTCGACCATTCACTGTTGGGTTCTAATTAACAGTGCTGTTCCTAAAGTGGCGCTGGGAAACAGTAACAAAACCTACACAAAACACGAGGCGAAATAACCTTAGCAGTTGAAGCCGATGACACACAAAAAAAATATCTCAATTGGAGGAAATTGTATACAATTAGTAGAAAAATTCAAATACTTAGGGGTAATGATTGACAAACAAATGAAATTCACAGACCATGCCATTTAAGTTTAACTTTCCTATATAGAAGTTCATTTGGCTTATCACAGTGTACTAAATGTATTATATATAACACTCTCATTCTACCATTGTTGAATATAGAAGTTTTGGTGTTTTCCTGGACATTTAACTTCCTCGTTTTTGTAGAAATGAACACAATTTAATCGAAGTTATTCAAACTGTTATATCACAAAACGAAATATACACTATTTACATACTAGTACGAAGCTACTGTAGAAAATTAATTAATTAATACATTAAGACGTATTGTGAATAGTCGAACCTATTTATGTATCTTTCAAGTCCTAATAAAACGTTACATGTTTGTTCAGGTATCATTAGAAGAATCGAGTAGCGGTTCAAGTTCTTCATCAAGTTCTAGTGACAGTTCAGATTCAGATAGTGATGACGATGACAGCAGTTCCACATCTTCTTCATCTTCGTCCGATGGATCAAATGAGTTTATGTCGCAAAGTGAAATATCGCATTTAATAGATAGATGTATTCTTGGTAAGTGCCACACTTCTTGGCTTTGTTATTTACAGATGTATCTACTTTTGCAGCGGGATTTAATGGCAAGAATGACATCTGACATCTTAAGGAACAGTGGAAAATTTTTATTTCTTTAGACTTTACACAAAGACTGAATTTATATTTCAATTTGATATAAAATTTTTCTTATTGTTCAAAATTATGTTTTTTTGCAGGATTAGAAATATGCATAATAAGACTCACTCAAAACTATAAGGCTTTATATCGTCTGGCGCATGTTTATTTTAATTATAAGTCCAAAAAGGATTTGTCGAAGTGCAAGCAGCTCTTGCTGGGAGAATACAAATGTAAGGACGGTACATTTGTTTCGGGGTTATTTAGTGACCGGAAACCAAACAATTTCTTTAATGTAAGTGCAACACATTTAAATCATTAATGTAATAAGTAGTTTCTAGAAGGTAATTACCAAAATAATATACATTATTTTTTGATAATTAATTAGGATGTTGGACAAGATAAACGTTAATTAAAATTTATGGACTTTATAAAGTTCAAAATGTGATTAATCTGCATGACAAATGACACATTTTAACTGATCAATTGATATATACCCAACCCTGCACACATATTAATATTAATAACATTTATTTGTGAAAGGCCGATTGTGTATTTGTAGAAGTCAAATTAAAAAATTGGTTTTATCCAAAAATTAGGTATTTTCTCTAGATTTTATATTTTATATTAATGCCACCAGTTTTCTAAGTGAATTATTTACCTCTTTTTAGGGCATATGGAGAATACCCTCTACTGAAATAGATAGACCGGGCTCTCTTTCTGCCCATATGAGTCGATGTTTGTCATTATTACTGCAAATTTTAAGAACGACAAATGAAACGAAAACCTTAATTGATTTGTGCGTACATTTAAGGAAAACTCCCGAACCAGATAAGTATGTAATTATATTCTAATCCCCGACCATGATGAATGATAAATTTTCGTTTTAGAATATATATAAAAGATTCAGAAAGGATGGCATTCTCCGAACAAGCGATGACTATGTGCGTACAAAGTATGAGGGGTCAAATCAAACATATATCCGGTATGTCAAATCCTCAAATTGCAAAATTGCTACAGGAAATATATAAGACATATCAAAGACTGCAGAAACATGTTCCAGGAAAAGAACAGCCCTTCGCTAATTTACTCGAAGAAGTCTACAGGAAATTCATTAAAGAAAAAGTAAGTAGATTCAATAATAAAACGATATATCGCTTCTTTTCCAGTATGGTGACCCAATAAAAAAAAACAATATTTTTAGGAGAGTGATTTTACATTTTTTTTTTTTGATGGTAAATTAATATTGATATACAAGTTCAAATAATAACATTTTTAATATTGTACTGGTCAATAATTACAAGCATTTTGTAAAATCATTCAAAATAATAATATTAATATTTTTTGTTTTTAATTATTTAAAAAAAAACTTACAAAATGACATTATTTCTAAAATATCCATTTTTATAAAAACTAACTATTTAAAATATGTTTTTTCCTGATAATTCTGCATTCATTTTTGCAATACTTTCGATATTATGACACTATTCCCGACACTCCTTGGATAATTCGGATCATCTGAATTATTGACAATATTCATGTTAAATCATGTTAAATTTCAATTTTTAAGAATAGTGACCTAGCGCCATCTTCTGGATTTTTCCGAAATGATATAATTCCTCATAAAGTTTGTGCTGTTTTGGGTTGAATTTTAAATTGAACTCAAAATTGAATTTTTTTGGATTGTGTCACTATTCTGGCCAAGGTTGGATATGTGTTTAAATACAGTGCGTCCATAAAGTAACGCATAAATTCATTATTGGCTAAATGAACAATAAAATTAGGAATTCCCAAAACAGGTCGATTTTTGATTTCAATTTACTATTGTTTCAAATCATAATCTAATATACAGGGTGAACCACTTTCGTGTAATGACGTCATCACCATTTTTTTCAAATGGAACCCCCCCTTTTTTTTCAATTTCCAAATTGCCTTTGCTGAGCTGATTCCAAAAATGTATAATATGTTGCTTCAAATTGGTACAGGGTGGGCAAAAATGCAAAAAAAAATATGAAAATTGTTTATGGAAAGTAATACGTTACTGAATGTAATAAACAAATTAAATGGAATTATGTAGTTATGCAATTAATGTGATACACTTCCAAAAACAAACAAACGAACGAAAATTTACAATAAATGTTCAAATTGTTCTCCATTGACCGTTAGACAATGACTGAACCGGGCATTACTTTCGTCTCTAACATTCTGTAGCATAGCGGGTGTTATGCTCTGTATTTCTTGTCTGAGTCGGTCTTGTAGTTGAGGGATATTTCCAGGTCTGTTGAAGTAGACTTTAGATTTTAAATAACCCCATAAAAAGAAGTCTAATGGGTTCAGATCAGGTGATCTAGCAGGCCATTCCACTGGTCCCCTTCTTCCTATCCACTTTTGTGGAAAAGTTGTGTTTAAAAAATTGCGCACAGCTACTGCGTAATGTGGCGGTGCGCCATCCTGTTGAAACCAGATTCTGCGGTCTACATTAGTGGGTATTTGAATATCAGGAAAAAGCTGGATCAGATCAGGAATTAATGTATTTTGTAGGAAATCCAGATATAATGCTCCTGTTAAGTTTTCATCGAAAAAATATGGACCAATAATTGTATTTCTCACAATACCAGCCCATACGTTAGTTTTTTGTGGTCTTTGCGTATGGTACTCTTGCATCCAGTGTGGATTTTCATCAGACCAATAACGGGTGTTTTGCCGGTTAACATGACCGTTCAAATAAAACGTTGCCTCGTCCGAAAATAAAACGTTATCAATGAAATTGTTATTTTGGTTCATCATATACTCGCAGAATTCAGTTCTTCGGTCAAAGTCGTCTTCAGCCAATTCATGGATGAGACGTACTTTATAAGGATGGTATTTTACCTTTTTGAAAATGTTTGATACTGAAGACTTTCCAATACCAAAATCCCTAGATAATCCTCGCACTGTACAGTGTGGATTTTCTACAGCCGACAAAATTATGTCTTGTTGAATATTTTCATCAATTTTTGGTCTACCTTGCCTTGCTGCATCCCTCACATGTCCTAATTCTCTGTATTTTCGCTCTATTCTACTTACCGTAGATTGTGAAATAGGTTCACGATCTGGGTGCATTTCATGGAATAATCGGCATACCTCTTGTTGAGTCCGCATCTTATCGCCAATACCAATCATCATTAATATTTCAATCCTGTCACTTTCGGTTAAAGGCATTTTGTAAAAAAAGTTCACGAACGTACCTTCTCTACAGCGTTAACAATACGAAACTGTGCTTCAGTGTTTTTGACAGTGTTGTCAAATAAAAAAAACTGGTATGTCAAATAAAAAAAAACTGGTAAAAGATAATGCCAAACAAAAAGATTTGTATAGTCCAGGGACTTGGATCACTAATAAAAGCTGTAAGATACAATTATTAAGAATAATGCTGTATGTTCTTGATAGTTTATCAAAGTAGTTGTAATAACAATACGTAATTTCATTTAATGTGTTTATTACGTTTATTCGTTATTTTCATTACTTTGTAAGTAAATTTTTGCATTTTTGCCCACCCTGTACCAATTTGAAGCAACATATTATACATTTTTGGAATCAGCTCAGCAAAGGCAATTTGGAAATTGAAAAAAAAGGGGGGGTTCCATTTGAAAAAAATGGTGATGACGTCATTACACGAAAGTGGTTCACCCTGTATATTAGATTATGATTTGAAACAATAGTAAATTGAAATCAAAAATCGACCTGTTTTGGGAATTCCTAATTTTATTGTTCATTTAGCCAATAATGAATTTATGCGTTACTTTATGGACGCACTGTATAAATATAAGCATCTTTTACGTTCAATCCTTTTACAATTTTTCTTCAAATCACTTATAAAAACCCATAAGCATGTAGTGTTCTTATGTATCCCAAAATATAAAAAAATGCTGTAATTAGGTACACACAGAATAATAACTTGTAACTTGTAAAGTCTGAATAAAGCTAATATTTATGTAAACTATAAATAAAATAATTTTGTAAAATTATACGTGACCGTATTATCCTTATATATGGTATTATCGTGCGATCGCCTGCAACCGACCCTTTGTCGACCTTTTGGTACAAAAATGTTATGATATCATCGAAGAAATTCCTTTATTTTCCTTTTCTACAATTGATTGACCAGCAACTTCAATCAGTTGCTTGAATTTGTCGTTGGAGTTATATCAGAAGTTGTTGTTTGACGAATTATGGAAGTTACTCGTACACAGGTTCCAATTCTGATCTCTTTCTTGATGGTAATTGGATGATCATTAAAGTTTATAAGACGTACTGGAATCTCTTTAACAGTAGAGACCAACCCCTTTCCGATCAGAATTCCTCGTTCAATTTCTTCAGCGTAGTTCCAAGGTTCCTTCTTCCATAGTTTCTTGTAGCTATGCCACTATAATGGTTTCATTTCTACCTGATACCATTGTATCTTCCTCTACAGCTACTGACACGGTACTGTCTCCATATGTATGTAGGAATACCCCTTTTTCCCACCAACTTTCATCACTGTTTTTAAAATCTGACTGGAAGCCATGTAAGTTAATTTCATCCATTCCTAGTATAACATCTTCAATATCAGTGACAATAACAGTGTGGGTTAACTTTTCTGTACCAATTCCTAATTGAACCTGGATTTCCCCGGGGATGTTGGCACTTTCACGAGTGGCAGTCCACACTCGCAACCTTGATGGTAAAAGTTTCTTGCGGTTATTTATGGTTGTTGGTTGCTCCAGTATCCACCATTATTGTATACTATTTACCATTTACTTCACCGTCTACGTATTCACTATGATGGCGACATTTCAAAGTAGCTATCAGTATGAGAGGCTCTTTAGACTAGTTCCGGGTCGAAGCTATAGCTAGATTTCCTGCGACGTCTTCTCTTCATTTGTTGTGACCCTAGGGCGTTTGCACGAACTGCGTATATGTCCCAGTTCCCTGCAATAGTATTCGTCTTTATCTTTTTGTCAGTTAAGCTCTTGATTATGTTAATTAGTTGCTCGAGTTTATCTTCTTGTACAGTTCTCACTTTACTGTTTCCTTCAGAAGCCTGTGTAGCTACCTCATATTCTAGAACAATGGAAAGACATCGACCAATTTTTTGTGACGGGCTAAGCAGAGTGTTTTCTGCATTTCATCAACAAATGTTTGGCAATATCTACTTCGCATTGTTGAAGAGTCTCGTCACATTTCTGTTTGCGATTCTTTAGCTGCGAGGGGTGTTGGTGGCCATATCGCATATTTGGTCTCTTTTTAAGTTGTTCAAAATCATCTGTCTCTTCCACAGGTATTACAGATATAGTCTAAAGAGCATATAAAGCATCTCCTCGAAGGGCGATGGTCAAATTTACTGCCTTCTCTCGTTTGGACCATTCGTTTGCTCTGGCAGCTATTTAGAACTGTTTAAGGTAGTTGGTCCATAACATCTTTCCGTCGAAAGTTGGGGCTTTAACACAGGCAGGATTTACAACTTCCTTCAATTTCAACTTTGACTACAACTCATGGAACTTTATTTCACCGTACTTGCCCTGTTCTGTATGTTCCAGTAATTCTTCTATCTTCTTCTCCATCTCTTTTATTTTCTCTTCAACGGAAAGAAATCTAATTTTCTACATCTGCAGAAATTTAATTTTCCAAGTCGGAAGAAATATCATCTTTCAAAGAAGATATATCAGAAGAAACTTTAGTTTCTAAAGAAGAAATTTCGTTTTGCACGGAAGACATATCAGAAGACAACTTTTTTCTATGGAAGAAATATAATTTTTTATAGAAAACATATCAGAAGAAACTTTAGTTTTCATGGATGAGATTTTACTTTCTTTAGCTTAAACGGCAAAAGAATTCACTTATATTGTTTTTTGTTTGTTTTTTAGATACCTGAAAACGTAAATGTTCTCGATTTGGCTGTTAAGTTCTGTTCACAAAATAGGGCAGCGGAAAAACAGAAACTTCAAGGAATAACGAAATCTCAAACGCTATCACCTAGAGGAGCTGGAATGTCTTCTGGTGTAAGTACAGTTTCTTATGTAATCCAACTAATTTTTGTTACTTTCGAAAAATATTAATATACTACTTAAAACAATAAATTGAAAAGTCAAGAAAAGGAGAAAAAAAGCTGTTATATGTCTACTTAAGTTGGAACCATATGGAAAGCATTTTTATTATTGATTTTAGGAAAAAAGTTATTCTTGATAAAAAGTCCTGCATGGGCCAAAACTTAAAATACAGTCAACAGATATCAAATTTTTCAAGCCGTATACGAGGTTTGTCAAAAAATATGAATTTTGCTTAAGAGTAAAGTACGTTTATTTTTTTTACAAGATCGAAAATTTTCATTAAGAAATTTGCTAAATTCTTCACAAACATCAACAAAAGGAAAGCGTATCATGTTTATAGTATCTAACGTAATTTATAACGTTTTCAGATATTTACAATCAATATGTAGAGTGTAGAGTTTATAAAAAATAAGAAAATCTGTTTTTTCAGATAGATCGGTGTAATTGCATATTTGAATGTATTTTCAATTCTAATCAACTTTTTTTAATGAAAATTTTTGATTTTGTCAAAAATAAACGTACTTTACTCTTGAGCAAAATTCATATTTTTTGACAAACCTCGTATACGGCTTGAAAAATTTGATATCTGATGACTGTATTTTAAGTTTTGGGTCATGCAGGACTTTTTATCAAGAATAACTTTTTTTCCTAAAATCAATAATAAAAATGTTTTCCATATGGTTCCAACTTAAGTAGACACACTGTACATATAACAGCTTTTTTTCTCCTTTTCTTGACTTTTCAATTTATTGTTTTAAGTACACTACAGAATTAACAATTCCAAATTAAAAAAAAAAAAACTTTAAAATTTTTAAAATACATTTAACCAAGTCTAACAGCAGAAAAGACAGTCACAAAATAATTAGATAAAACTACTTAAAATTTTAAAATTCTTTCATCCTCTTAACCGATAATAGAGTACAATTAAAAATATTACACTGAGAATATAATATAATGTAAAGTTTATTTATTTAAAACAGTTTATTAATTTAATTTATATTTACTATTATATTTACACTAATACATTTTATAACCTAATTTATTTATACTTAATTACTGTACTATTTATATTTCAAACACTTATAACTAATTTATATTAACAATATTTATCTTTACAAATCGAATATCTAACTTCAACTGCCTAACTATCGGCAAGATAATCTATTTATATTAGTGATGGGTCACTTCGAAAATTCTACTGACTAGTCTGAAAAGTTTGTGTTTTATATTACGCAGACAGAGCTGTCGCATTAGAAAAAACAAGACGGCTGCTAATTTGAGTGAAAATTATTTGTGCGAGTATTTATCAGAGTAGCGAGCATGCGTTTTATGAATAAATCAGTACTTATGTCTATCACGCTTGCTTTATTCTGCTGTCACACTTCAAAATTAATTGCGCTTTTTCCTGAAAACCATCTATGATAGTTGCAACGAGAAAAATACATTAAACTGATAATAATTGGCATTAAGAATGCAAACATACTTCCTTAATGTAACTTTGAAAGCCTTTTGTGCGTTTAAGAGCCTTGTGTTAAGTCATTATCAAATTATAACCATAAGAAATTCTTGTAGTTGTAACATAACTCACACAATACTCATAATAATTTGACACCGACGTGGATCACACCATGAATGTTTGAATTTCGAGTTTTATAAACAAAATTAGTCTAGTAGTTGTTCTTCGTTGATTTGAAAGTACTAAATTACGAATTTGTTGTTCTAGATCATTGTTAAAAAATTCCTGAAGAGCAAAAAAAATATAGAGCTATTTATTATTATTATACCCTTCACACATTAGTCTGTGAAGGGGGTTGAAATCTTTAAAAAAATCCTTACTCAAAAACGAATAATAAAATCACCCTACCGACTTATAACCGACAAATATAAAGACAATAATATCAACTTAAAATTTTTGAAAAAAAAAAAACCTCAATAAAATATGTGTCAAGGGGGATTAAAAAAAAAGACTTATTTTCTTTTTCTTTGTAATATGTCACAAAATGACTTTAATCCAAAATTTAATATGAAGTAAGTACTCAACTTACCCGCTACCTGCTTTGCTTTAAAAGACCACGTAGCAGATCCGATAGAGAAAAAGTAGATGTATTAAAAGAATATCGAGTAAAAAAAAGAAAACGAGGTACTTTTCAAATGTAGCATATGTATAGTGACTTTTAGCTTGTCGATCTTTTTGCAATAAATTTCAAAGTCTAATACAGTAACAAACACTCAATTTCTCTTGCACTCAGTAGAAAACGCGCCAATTTTTCTTGCAGCATTGAAAAAATAGTATAAAATGGCTCTTAATCAGAGAATTTGTTTTTGGACTTTTGGTTACCAACCTATATCAATTATATATATTTTATTTACCCTGGTTTACATTACTATCCTCTTTTAGGCACCTGTAATGCCATCACCGCAAAACGTTACTCCAACTCAATCACCATTCTTGAAACGGCCTGGAACTACCAGACCTCGCGGTCGACCTCCTCTTCAAAAAAATTCGAGTCAATCGCCTCTTCAGAAAAATCCGAATCAGCCACGTTTCCAGAGACCGAAAAGTCCGAGTTCAGCTGGTCTTTCTAAGACGTATCCGTGGCAGAAATCGCTTATGGATCATAGTTATGCCTACGAGTACTTGAAGCACTATCAAGATGAACTGATCAAACAATATAGTCAAAATTTGAGTATTGCTCAACTTACCCAATTGAGCTCTATATTAACACAAGGTAAGTTGGTGTTTTAAGTCTGCTGTTTTTCTTTAGATACAATCCAAAGGGTGTCGGGTTATATAGTCAGAGGAGTAGTTGTTTTCCAGAGTGATGCAGCCGCTCTAAATTTTCTGACACAGTTTTTATCTTCCTTTCATTATTTAAACCTTTTTTTTGCGTCCTATTAATATTTACTTACTTTTGAAACTTAAATAAATAAGTTTTTAGCATTCTACTGTTTTTTTGTTGTAATTTTTGAATTGCTAAGAAATTTTTTACGTTTTTCAGGCCAAATCAACAATCCGCTTACAGCTACTGCTATAACAAGTCAGATGTTAGCCCAAACTGGTTTATTAAATTCCACTTTGCTCAAACAAATTAATTCGGCAGGGAATATGTCACAAAATGTCAACTCTCAACTTATGGACAGTTTGAATCAATTGAATCCTAATATGAAGAAAAAATTGGGCGTTGATCAAGCGCTTTCTAATTTAACCTCAGGTATAGTATTTGAAGAAGAGTGTCCTGTATATACTTTTTGTTTATTTTTCACAGTTCTCTTGTTAATTCGTCAGTTTACTGGTTTCTTTAGTAACTACGAATAATTAATCAAAATATTTTGAGGGTTTTTTGAGAAAAAGTCCTTACAACCCACTTTACATTTATTTATTTTAAAAAAATTCTACTGTCAGGAAATTATCGTCTTTCTAGTAATATTAATCGTTTCTGGACAATGATTATATTTAAATTTTGTATTTCAGATCAATTGAAAGTATTGGGAACGTTAATTCCAAAACAAGGTGGTGGATCACAAAACAACCCATGTATACCTTATACAAATACATCGATATCTGGTATTATTACCACTAAACAAGCAAAACAGCAATCTTCGGCTCAAAGACAATCATCGCCAAGTACATCCAAGTCGATGATTGTAGATCCTCTAAAAACAAAACATACTATCGCAACTAGCGTGATCAGTTCACCTTCGACTAGCTCACAGAGCGGAACGCAGATGTTTAAGGTATATAATGTAACTTTTATTTATTTTAAACAGTTTATTATTTAATTTATTTACACTCTACGCACTAATTTATTAACAATTTAATTTATTTTATACCTTAATCTCTAACTTAAACACTAATAATTTATCTCAAATACTTATTTAATAATTTACATATATCTTAACACATCGATATCTAACTTAAAAATTACCTATTGCGACAAAGTTGTGCTATTTATATGAAAATTGGGCGCTCCAGTCCTGTTCTCGAGAATTCCAGGCGTTCTAGATTAGCCGAAATCAGAATCAACGACGCAACGCAGTTTCTAAAGTTTCCGTCTTCGCTGGACGAGGTAGCCGTTTTGTCTGCGAGACTAAAGCATTGGCGGATCCATAGGGTTTCGGAGGTGACTCGCTTTATCAAATATTTTTGATAACTTGAAAGGTCGTAAAAGGCTCAAATAAGGCAGAGAAGGACTTCAGGGATTAGAGCATGACGGGCTGTTTGGAAATGGTTCACTTTACTATAATTTTTACAAATATTTTAAAATAATTCGATAAATCTTTACGGCGTTGCCATTGTTATGAAGTAGATGGAATAACTTCTGTAAAGAGGTGACGATTTTTTCTGTTAGTTCAACGATTTCTTTTTATGTTCTTGAGAAATGAAGTTTGTGTTTTTTCACATTAATTTATTGATTGGTAAGAATGAATAAGTTGTTTTGTTTATTACAACTCTTATAAATTATTTTTAAAGCCACGTTCTATTAACTCTCTTAAGGTTATGAATTCTAAGTGATTTGTTAATGGATAATTTTAAAATGGTCCAAATAATTTACTGTCCCGCTTTGTGTTAGTGGTAACTTGTGAAATGCCACTGCATAGTTTGTTTTTAGTTTTTGCGCGATAAAACATGGTCTGATGCAACTTGCTACATAACCTAATCGATCTCCTTACTTTGGTCTGCGAATTTCTCATATCGACAGCTTGTTATGGATTTTGTTTTCATACTTTTAATGTCTTGCTAGAGTCTGGAATTTTTGATTAAAAATATCTTCCTTCGATTTTTTTTTTTTTAAATTATATTCAACTCATATTTTATAATAATCAGAAATTAAAATTCTCTATTTTATTTTCAGGAACCTGTGAATAAGATGTCTCCGCAAGAAGAGAAATCTGCTAAAGATTTAATGAAAGACAGACCGAATATTTCAATTACTCCGGTGGCGGTTAATTTACCGCCGCCTTCAAGCGTTTCTCCAAGTTTTTTAAGACCAACTTCAACTAGTCCGTCCAGTAAGATTTCTTTTATTAATTTAAAAATAAACATTTTGATGAAGAATTACATTTTTTAAGGTTTTTAATATGTTCCCTAATCTGCAAATACCTAATTTTGTCTCTCCCTGTATCACATAGTGAGGTAGTGCGGGTTATTTGTGTCTTTTAAATTTACAACCTTAGACCCTTTCTGACGTGCCAAGCGCTGGTTCTTTGACTACTTCACACATTCATTGTTTGCACGTATGTTGATAAAAAGTTCACTCCATATTTGGTTTTTTTACGCTTATCATTCTTTAAAGATAGTTTTATCGCATTGACGTTGAGATAAATTAACTGAAACATTGAGGAATTCAAATCCCCTCTCTCGTTCTGCTCATAAGATTGTTTGAAGTCAAAAAGAGAAAGGGCGTAAATTATTTTAAAGTTAGTAACAATGAAATGTCGTTCTTCCAATATAACATTTTACCAATAGGAACCGCATAAATACAACATTTAAAGGTGATTTATGCATTCACATTTTACCTCTCTCTTTAGCTCAATGTTTTTTTAGATTTAGATTTCTTTAACCCTCTAATTTTCTCGTACGAATGAACTGCTATTATCTTGTATACGATGTCTAAACTTTTATATTATAGTTGTCCTGTACCATCTATGATCACTAGATCATAGACATATTCCTTGGTTCGATGTCAATTACCTCTGAGAGTCCTAATCTGAGCCCTTCTGGTACTGCAGACATCTTTTCACAACATGTCATTATTGTTTCTTTCATAATGATAGCATGTATCGTTTGTTCTCTTCACGTGGATCCAAGATACATATCGTGACATCATTGTTGATCCTATATAAAAAAATGAGTATTGTGAAAATGATTACTCCTGTCTTGTTATTGTTTTTTCTTGTCTCCTGTCAGGAAAACTAAAAGCGAGACATCTTAGCTCTACCAATCATCGAATTTTTAGATTCTATGACAAACAAAATAAAATGCCAAAGTGACGAATGGCGAAAATAATGGTACATCTCAAAAAAATACAAAACACTTCTTGCATTCTAATTTTATAAAGATTGTCTTTAAATTAGTTGGGATAGTCTCCCCGAGATGCATCAATGCCCGCATATTTTTAGTATGCCTCTGTTCATAGATAAATGCCTCCGACTGTGTTGGGTTTGAGTCGTCATGTGTGACCTACAATGGCATAACTGAGTATGCCACTATAGACTCTACTTTCGATCAATTTCGTTAAATGTGCCAGAGTCACATACTTTGATTTTCTTTTACTATACGGAGAATGGTCGCACTGCGCAGCTTTCTGAGTGCCTTTTAAAAGGAGACAGAAAACTCTGCCATTTTGATCCCTTATTACGTGCTGCCTACATCTTGGCGCAATATTTTTAATAGGTACGTTTTAATCATCCGCTTCTGCTTCGGAATTGTCGGTTTTCTTGTTTTAATCTGACAGGTTAAAACGACTATACCGACAATTCCGGAAGCAGAAGCGGATGATTAAAACGCACCTGATATTTTGCTTGCTGGTGTCAGTGAATATTATTTTTGGAGTCACAGTGTATTGCTAAAGAATCAGTTAGCTCACTCGGACCAATTGAAAGTTCCAAAATAACATCCACTCCAGGGATACAAATTCAGGATACGCAGAAGACTGCTGTTTTATTATAGGCGGTTGTCATATATTGTATTATCCGAGTTGCGCAGTGTATAAACTGGAACATCGAGATCAAAATAGCTGTGTTTTTATATAAACTTTGTCACTTGTATTCACAATAGTGGCATATCTTTGTTGTAATGTACACTATAAAATATATATTTATATCCGTGTTGAAGAACCAAAATTATTAATTAGAAAAGATTAAGATTAACAACTTTTTTTATCACTGTCATCAATTTTATTATTGTCATATGTTTTTATGTACAACTATGAACAATATAAACATTAACAAGTAAATTCAAATATGTAACAATCCTTCAAATATCAGTTTTTTGAAAACACAAAATTAACTTAACGACTACACAAATTTAGAACACAAAAACATACAAGTGACATTTAGACTTATTTTCTTACTAACTTTTATTTCTGAGTTGTGCCACTATTGTCGCCGGCGGGCGATTCATCTAAACTTTATATCTAGTAATAGAGTCAACGGAGATATTGTTCTGCAGCGTGTTCTCCATCCTTTGAAATTATTATAAAACATATTTTTATTTAGGCGGTAAAACGCTACAAGAAAAACTGGCAGACAAGAAAAAAGAACAGCAAACTAAACAAATGAAGTCAACCAGCGATGTAGAGAAACGTCCAACTGAAGCTTTCATAAAAAATTTAAACATTCCCAGCCTTCCCTCATCTCTAACTGTATCACCCGCTCAACCGAGCCCTTCTTCCACTCCTGAGATGTCATCGTCAATGTTCGGCATTCCAAAAACGACGCCAAGTCCCAAATTCCCAATGGATATTGGTTTGCAGGCTTGTGGTCCTTTGAAAATACCTAAAGAGCAAAATATACCTGCATCTCTGACTGTGTCAAAGGCCGTGACCAGTACCTTGCCTACGCCTACTTTCCCAGTGGACTCAGGAATGTCTATTAGTCAGGTAAATATAAATTTAGAAATTCGGTCAAGTTTCATTTATTTTTTATTTTTGCTTATTAACTTTATATTTGTTTAGCTCCATTTTTACTATAATATTATTAGAGTATGTACTCTTATTTAAAGGTAATCACATTTTTAATATACTTATAATTTGACCTACTTATTATATCAAATTTCCACCATTCTCACGACGATGAAAACTATATACATTTTCGTTTCATGAAAATCACTCATTTTCTGCAGGGCGATCATAATAAAACTCCTCAAGCGCCGAGAAAGCCATACATTTGGAATCCGTCATTCTAAACACTTGTATAATTATCTGTAAGTCATTATTACCATTTTTTTCATTGCTAGATACAATGTAGTTAGAAAATATTCGCATGTTTTTAAATGCTTCTTTATGTATTTTCTTTAAAAATATTAAGAAACTATAAAAAGTCTAGATTTTAACTGAAATGAAGAAGAAAAACTCAACGACTGAGCGCTTTCTTCCGAAAAACAACTACTTCTTGTTAAAAATGGGAAACTTGGTAGGTTTTAAAATAATACCAAACACTTGTTCTTCGGCAACGACTATATTACGACTAACTCATGGAGGATCTATTTCGTCCTATGATAAACATGACATTCAATAAGTAAGCAAGAGAGGGCGCTAGGTGCATTAGGTTACATTAGGAGGATCTTTCAAACTTTACAACACCCCCACTAGTTTGAAATAATAATTCAAAAAAAAAGAAACTTACAAGCTTTCTAAACCCATGTGTTTCAAAAACTTGTAATGTTTGTTTGCTCCCAAGACTTTTGTCAGGATATCTGCAGGCATCTCATTTGTCTGCAAGTATTCTGTATTGATCAAACCACTTGTTGCAGTTTCTCTAATGAAATGATGACGAACATCTATGTGTTTAGTCCTTTTATGAAACATGGGGTTTGACATAAGCTTTAGGGCACTTTGACTATCACTATAAATTGAAATACAATCAAAGGAACCTGTCAATTCTCTTAATAGGTTTCGACAATAAATGGCCTTCTTAGCTGCTTCTGTTAAGGCCATATATTCGGCCTCAGTGCTTGAGAGGGCGACTGTTTTTTGTTTACTTCTCTCCCAAGACACAGCTGAATTTGAAAAAATGAAACAAAAACCTGTATATGACTTCCTATCCAGAGAATTGCTGGCCCAATCAGCATCTACAAAACCTTCTAGACTTTTTGAGTCTTTAACTTTAAACATAAGTTTTTGGTTTTCTGTAGATATTTCACTTTGCCAGTGAGTATTATCAAAACAGTTATTAAACTGGCTAAGAAAACTAACACTATAAGATATATCTGGCCTTGTCATGACTGCCAAGTATATTAGGCCACCTATTAAATGTTGATACGGCAAGGGATCGCAATTTTCACTTTTTGAAAAATTTAAATTTCTCTCCATTGGCGTATCGACAGTTTTGCAGTCAAACATTCCAAATTTAGATAATAAATATTCTATGTAATGTCTTTGGTCCAATGTTATGACATTCCTTGCCTTGTCTATACGGATGTTCATTCCTAAAATTTGCCTTGCCAAGATCTTTTAACTTGAAATTTACCGCTAATTCCTTTTTTAAAACATTTGATTCAACAATATCATTTAAAAAAAAATGAAAAAATCATCAACATACAAGGCAATGACTGTCATTAGACCCTCATTAAACTTAATAAAGACACATGGCTCAAATTTTGATTTATTGTACCCTAAATTAGTTAAAACATCTTCGACCTTCTTGTACCAAACACGAGAGGATTGTTTTAGGCCATAAATGGCACGTTTCAATTTTAACATTGAAAGTTGTACAATTCCTAAATCCCTACGAAAAACACTGAATGGAAGCTTAGAGACTTAAATTCACAGATACTATTGTAGTTTGGAAGATAGACTGTCTATTTCTTGGTGAAGAGTCCTAATAAGAACAAAACTGGTCAATAATGAAATCAAAGCTAGTGTTAGGTAATTAGGCGTTTTTTCTTTAATTTACTTTATATTATTGTATTTGATACGAGCAGTTAGATGCTGTAGTGATCCTTAATATTTTGATCAAAAGATATTTTTTTTGTTGTTAATATTTCGGGAATCACTCGTGTCTGCGCAAATTGGCTTCTGAAGATGTGTTATTAAACAAAAAAAAAAGAAATTAACACCACCTATTGTGGTAAAGTTCCCTTGCGCCCAAAATTAAGCTAGATTAAAAAGACGAAAGACTATAGTTGGTGGTAAAAATAATTTAACTGGAGGAATAGTTGTTTTTCGGAGGGAAGCGGTCGTTCGCTGATTTCTGTGACACGGACGTTGTTTTCTTTCCTCCTTCTTTATTTACATCTTGGTCACATTTGAATGTAGAATTATTTTAATATTACGTTAGAAATGAATGTTTATATTAGAAAATATTTGAATATACAATTTATTTTTTTTTCTTAGTTTGAATTTGAATTTATTTAAGTTTATTGAATGTTGTAGATTATTTTGTAGAAAATGTAGGTATTTAAAATTAATTGCATTTTGTCATGTAGATTAGTTAATAATTAGTTATATTGAATATTTTATTCCTGTTAGAATTTTTTAGTTGGCATTTTTGATTCTATTTAAATTAATTCATTCTAGCTCTCAGTGAAACCTGCATCATAAAATGAATGCAATGATTTTCCATAGGGAACTTTGCTTATTTAAAGTAACACTTTTAAAATACTACAATTCTAAGTAAATATATTTTATTTTATCTCTTTTGACAAGGATAATGGTTACTTTCGTTTGTGTATTGATAATAAAGGTGTGTTTACAATAATAAGGCGCACATCATTAATAAATTCTTAAACAACCTAATGTGAAAACAAAGAAATTCGTACTCCCCGGTAGAATTCGAACCTGCTCCTTCTGGCCTTCCGAGACTAATTGAGGACTAGTGCATTTAGTCGTGACGTGAAAAAAATCTGGATATTATTATTTCTTGGTATAATTTTGTTTTTAAATTAATTTCTCGATCATTTGAAGTGACTGATGGTTAAGCGGTTAAGACAATGGGCTGGCAAAACAGAGATCGTATGTTCGAATACTGCTGAGGTGCCAGATTTTTTTTTTTTTCATTTTTACTTTGGTTTGTTTTTACATTATATAGATTCTTTGGGAATTTATTTTCTACTAATTTTCATTAATTTACGGATCTTTAACCCACATAAATTATTTTCTCTTTTATTTAAAAATTTATTGAGATATAAACAGTTCTTCCGTTCTTCAAATAAGAAAATATACTGGCCATATTGAACTAATTCAGAATTTAACATTTTTACCGAAAGTAGTCTCTAGAAATCGCTTGATATTTTAAAATTGTTAGACTTACCGCTAGTGAGCATAAAGGCCGATTTATAAACTTGCAGTTTCTATCGCCATTACCGTTTCCACTCCCGTTTCTGTTTGACGCAGTCGTTGTTGATATTCATAATTTATAAATCAGACGTTCATCGCCGTTGGAAACAAAAAGAAGCTGACTTTTATCCAGATTGTCATGCGATTTTCAATAAGTGTCTTTTTTGATTGAGTTTAGATATCTATTTAGGTATTCTTGGAATATTTTTGTGTTCGTTTACTTTTCATATAATTAAGCTTATTAAGGTACGCCCCATTAACCAAATAATGAAGTCATTAGGAGATTTCCAATGGTACCCAAGCTTTTGATTGGTTAATATGCGAACGGCACGAACGGTGAACTGCAGAACTTAAAACTTTGTTATGTTTGAACGTCAGGGAACGTCATGTGCAACACCGAACGGTGACAGCAACAGAGAATATAAGTGCTTTAATGCTTATAGCCAACAATGAAAACTCGTTTTTAAAATGTCAAATTTTTGTCGAAAATAAAAAAATAATATGCAATTTTTTTTCAATTTTGACTACCTTATCCGTTTTTCATTGTTCATAAACATTACGCCATCTATTAGCGAAGTTAGACACTTGAAAATAATTTCCAGCGATTCCTCTTGCTTACTTTCATCATGAAAATTTATTTCCCAAAATTCTATGACACATATTTCTAGGATACAGGCTGTATACTTTTTTGTTTAGATTTCCGTACTTCTAAGATTAAAAAAATGTTTTCCTTTAAAAAAATATGTCATACATGTATAGTGGGCATTCTAAGCATTCTGAATACCTTCATCAAGACATAAGTACCGACTACAGAGTGTGCGTTAAATAACCCTCATATTTTTAACAGTTAGATATACAGTACTTATTATTTTGTATCAGGCATAGCCGTACTTTTACAGCGAACATGTGGCAACTACGATATCCCCGCTATCGCTATGTTCTCTGGTTTAGTCATTGATATTCGGTTCAGCTAATATCCCACCACCATAATATCTTCTAATTCTAGTCGACCGCGACGACTGGCTCTTGCCCTGTTGCCATTTTATTAACTTGTATACTAGTCGTATGCCTAACACGAAAAAATAAGCACTGTATTTACATTCCAAGTAAAAAGTTCCAACCAACGGTTTGCAAGTAAACCGTCTGAAACTAGGTACCATTTGGCAACAGTGAGCTGAAACAATTTGTATTAATATTGTGAAAAAAAAAAAGATCATTTAAAACACATTTATTTTGGATTTTCATGTGCATATTGTAAAAATTAAGTAAAACTGATCAAAATCTCTTATATTGTATAATAACAAAATTTTCTTATTTTACAATAAAATTTGTAACTTATGTCGAACTTGGTATGCTCACATTTAGAGCTCATTCCCAATTATTACGTTATATCTGAAAATAGAACATATTCATCACGACAAGTCTCATTATCCAAACATAAAACATTTAGTTTTCGTTTCGTGCTATCTGTCCGTATTTTGCAACTGGAAAAGAACTCAATTTTGGAAACTACATGTAATCCTAAGTTGATACTTTTTTAAATGTATAGAAATTATTAAAATTAAAAAAAAAAACTCAAAAATAAGAAGCTTACATTAATTTATTCTAATTTGTATCCAATACATTCCTGTCTAACTTAAATATTGTGTAGAACTTTAATCAAAAAATGTTGATTACATTTAAGCCGTTGTAAGAAGCATTCACAAAACTGAACTCTACGAGGAAAATCTTGAAGTTGTAGTGCCTGAAGACATTGAACGGAAAGGGATACAATTAATTTTCCCGCAATGTTGTCCACAGTTTTCTTCGACTTTGATCTGCAAATCACCAGCGTACTTGTTGTTAAATCTTCCTCTATATCTAAAAAACGCACTTCATGTCTTATGGGTCTTCCTACATGTCCTCCACGATGTTCCCGCAAATCACCTCTATCTCTAACTCGTTGAGCCAGATTATTGAAAGTTCTGGGACTAGGATCGGCTCAAAAGACACTCACCAAAAATAAGCAATATATCTACAAGTTCATTTGTTGTCATCATTTACCTTACTGTACAATTTATTTCAGATAAACACTACTGAAATCACACGGGACTGAATTGCAATATCCGGTACCCAATTAATGTAGTGTGATTTATAAGATAAACCGAAAAAAGATAAAAACAAACAGATTATTTAACTTAACTTTTTATACGCAAGCCGGATTTAGATTTTTAATTTTGTATTTCTTATTTTTTAGTTTTTTGAAAAATATGTTTATTTTAACGATTTCTATACATTATTTGAAAAAGTATCGTTTTAAATTATGGATCTTATATGTCATTCTTGTCAGAAAAACGTACTATAGTTGACATCACTGACTATGCAGTATTCGTCTACTTTATGACTCCGCGGCCCCTTGCTTTTTTTTAATTACCTTTTAAGCTGCAAATGCACACAATTTTTAATTCTTTATTACAATATAATTATTTCTAATCTATCTACTAAATTCAACTAATCCTTAAGTGTTTGTATCTAATTCCTATCAATTATATCTTATATATATACTCATTAACGTTCTTTTTTTTTAACAGGTTTCCAAAAATCAACAGAGAAAGAACCAAGAGAAATCTCCAAATAAGGACACCAATAAGCAAAATAATTCAGAAGTATCACCAGTAGTTTTAGTAGCATCAAAGAAAAATAATAGTGATAAAGGGAAAAGTAAAAAAATTAAAAGTGAAAATGCAACGAAACCCATACAAATTAGCCAAAAAATACCGCAAAGTAACTCGACGGTTAAAACGTCAAGTGATTTGGTTACAAAATTTATTTCTAAACATTCTGTAGACGCTTCGAAGAAATCAATTTCCCAGCCAAGTAAAAACTCCAAATCAGAGTCTTTGACTAAAGCACAACTGTATAAACTTTCTGCTACATCTGAATCATCTAAAAAACTAGAAGCTCTTACAAAATCTGGCATTTCTATTCATTCTATTCCAAAGGAAAAAAAGGAAGTACAAAAAACACCTGAGAAATACGAAAATGTTAAAAAGCGTTTTAAAATTGAATCTTTGACAACAGTATCAAAATTAAAATCTGATAAGAATAATAATAAATCTGAAACGTCTGTTAAAATGGAAACTGTGGATATACAGAAACCGGAAAATGCACCGGTTTTAAGTATTGAATCTGAAAGTTCTGTTGATGATGATGATGTTATTTGTATTGATTGATTGTTTTTTAATTTATTTCTGTTTAGTTATATATCTAAAATCTGTTTCGCATACTGGAAATTCAGTTTAAACGAAATATAGGCAGCAATAATGAATTTCCGTAAATTATCGTCCCATTAAAACTAAATAGCACGTTAAAATAACCATACTAATATAAAAACCCTTATCAATAGGTAATTTAGTGGCCATCAAAAATGTTTATGGTTGAAGATAAGAGGAAAAGCTTTAATGCGATATTATTAAATGTATTACGTGCACACTGTCACTACTCGTTTCTCACAAATTTATTATAATCGGATTGATGTATCGATTTGCCACATTTTCTGTTCTACTTTTTTCATGACTTGCTATGCATTTTTCCCATTTTGTGGCGGCTATTCCACCAATAGCTTCTTTCTCATCATTTTCACTAACAAACTGGTATCTCGGTATTATAAGAACTAAACAAATAATAGTAATAAATGTATTTTAATATTTTTTTGTACACTAGAAGTATTAGGAATGGTTTCTAGCCTTTTAAGTTAGGCTAGAGAGGCGCAAAGTATACATATTTGAAAAGCATAACTTCAAAAGGGTCTAAGTGCCAAACACATGGAAAAAAGTTATGAGTAAAATAAAAATTGTATACATCATATACATTCGCCATGTTTATCTCACTCCAAAAAATGAATTTCTTCTAAAATGCACTTAAAACCATTTGTATACCGTTAGGGTTGGTATATTTGAACCTTTTTATGTAGAAATTTTGATACTTAGACCCTTTTGAAGTTAAGGTCTTTATTTATAATTCGTTAATATGAAAAATAATTTAACATTTCTGAAGAAGCAATTTTCTTATGAATTCATTATCATTACAATAATTTTATACAGTGTGGAGCTCCGAAAATGAAACATATTGAATATTCGAAGGTTTTAAGTAGACGTTCATTGCAATCTCAGTTTTCTCCATTATCTTGGACTTCGTTATCACTAGAATTATAACTTTGGACTGGATATGTATTTTATCTGGGTTATAAATACTGTAGCTAAATGAAACCCTGTGAATTTTTCTTGACAAACATTTTACTTTATCTAGTAATAACTTAATTGAAGTTTGGGGTACATTTATTAGATTGTACACTCATACCACTATTAAGTGGTTTTTGTAAAACAGAATCACTTAGAATAACAGACAGCACAGCAGTAACAAATAACAATAATAAGAGAAGGAGGGTTAGATCGAGGCATAGGCGTGCCCGGCCTTTATGCGCAAGAAATCCCCCTGCATTCTTATTAAGTTTACTAGATTAAGATTGGTATATTTTACAGCTGGTAACACACGAGATACCCTTGTCTCGTGTGAATGATAAGACCAATAATAGAAATAAATTGAAATACACATACCTGAGTTTACAAAAAACAACAAACATTACATCTTCTTTTTTCACACATTGGGTGACCGGTCTCCTTGTTGCAGAAATTATGCCGCGGTAAAGGTAGCTCATGAAAGCTGACGTACGCTGGGGTTTTTTTATAGGGTCTTTAACAGCAGATTTTCCAGTGATTTTGGCTGGGTGGCATAAATTTTAGTTTTTAAGTGGCCCCATAAAAAATCTAACGAGCTTAGATCCGGAGATTGTAAAGGCCACTCAATACTTCCTCTTCTTCCGATCCATTGACCTGGAAACGTTTGATTCAAATTCTCAATCAACTCTAGATAAATGGCGTTTTCTAATAATTCCAGATAAATTTCTTCGGTTAAAGTTCCAGATAAAAAAGGGGCCAATTATACGGTTACCAAAAATGCCAGCGTATGCACTTATGAAATATTCTGGGATTTGAATCAGACCAATAACGACAGTTGTGACTATTTATTGTACCATTTAGAAAAAAAGTGCATTGGTCTGAAAAACACATTGAAAAGAAATTGGTGATCATTTATTGCCCGTTCAGTTATAATTTCACAAAATTGTAATCGCGTATCAAAATCGTCTTCGTTCTTTTACCAGATGTATTTTGTAGGGATGAAACTTGTGTTTTTTCAATATCTTCTAAATACTACTTCTCTTAATACCAGATGTTATCGCTGTCTTCTACTCAATGTGAGTTCTTGAACAACACGCCCTAAAATCGCCACCTCTGTAGCTTCATTTACTACATCATTTTCCATTTCACGTTTTTTGTTAGCTACTGACCCCGTCTCCCAAAATTTTTCGACTAACTCCATGTTCATGTAGATTTTGATGTTGACTGTTAAACAGTTGGGCAGTTCTATTTGCACCCTCTCAGCAATTAAGTAAACCATTATCACTGATGTGCCACTTTTATGTCGACTCTACAACGAAATAAACTAAACCTTACTACTTTATGGCGAATGTCATCTGATAACAATAATTGAAAGCCACAGGAATAAAACTAGAATTGCTACAACGAATTTTTTTTTTTTTTAATTACAAAGTAAAAATTATGTTAAACCGGTTTTGTACTTTTGGTGAACCACTGTATGGGCTACATAGATAGTGTCAAATTTGGGGGTTATTATCTAGGTAACGATACCTTTAAAATAATATATCATTCAAATCATCTTTCCATTTGAGATTTTACTGGTGAGTCTCACCCCCGATAGAGGGTTTCCGCTCAGGGGGTGAAACTGGCAAAAAAATGTTTCCCCCTAAAATCAACAATTGACGGGTCCAAGCGTTTTTTAATAGAAGTTCTGGTGTCTAGCCAGCACTACTAGAGACTCAAAATGAAGCATTTTTTTTTCTAATCGGGAGCAACTTTCAAATGTTTTCCCTTCTCCCCTCAAGCATTTGCTCAATAGCATATGTACAGAGCTCTTATTTTGATAATTGCAGACCGTTATTAGTCGTTCTTTTTTGACATCATAGGGTTTTATACACCAAGAATAATAAATCCTTAAGTCCAAGTTCAACGCGTTGTCAATGACAAGTCACGGTGACTTTTTTATCACAAAAAATACAGCTACAAACAATATTTTATCGAGGCCTCCTGTCGCTATACCAACTTGGGCCACGACAGCCTCTTCATTTCACTTATTGGCAAGTTTTGTCCACGTTGTGCTAAAACTGCTCTGGTACTTGTTCACCCAGAGCCCTCGGGGATTCGGCGCCTTTGCCTCGAGGTGTATAATAATATAACAAAAGAAAATGGGTAATGGACACATCCCGCAAATTAAAAGAAAAATAGGACGAAAATCAAACTGTAAACAAGTGTTTCTGGCTGTTGGTCTTATCGAGATAAAATAAAGTAGAGACGACATAAACACTATTTTGCGATAATTTAATGTTTGAAGATAGACGTAATGAAAATATTTTTTTCTAATTTTATTATAAATAATCAAGTCAAAATCAGAAAAAATCTAATTTATGTAGCACGTTACAAAATGCCTTTTTGTGTTACTCGTTACACAAAATAAGGCATTTCGTAACTGGTTACATAAATAACTATTATATAATTTAAATGAAGCTATTTAAAACAAAATTGCATTTATTCTCACCAAAACTGACTTAGCTCCATTAGTTTGATTTTTACACATGACGTAAATGTGTAATACAAAGGTGAGGACACTTAGTATCGTCACACACTGTTGCCAGTCTAGTACAATTGTACTAGATCTAGTACATTTTCTAAGAATTTGGTACACTCAAAGAAAAATCTAGTACCTTTTTATTTTTAAGCGTGTTATCATTTGACGCGTGTAAAATTTATTTTTGAGATCTTGCTCCTTGTTTTGGTTTCGTTTGCTAAAAACCATTTTTTTCCCTAATGAACCAAACCACATCACAATAATTCATTCGAAAATCTGGTACATTTTACAAAATCTAGTACATTTTTAAGTAATCTGGTATATTTTTTAGGCAAATCTGGTACATAACAAAAATATATTCTGGCAACACTGTCGTCATAGCATCTCCTCTTTATTCTATCTCAATGATTGATCTTCATCAGTATAAACTTAATTTGTTGACCATATTTCATTTCGATAGTCTGTAATTCATTTAAACTGCTGCTCGTCATTTTCTATAAACTTTTTTTTTATTGGTGTCCTTGACTTTAACAACTAAGGTCATTAGCCTCGTGTTCTGTGTAGGTTATGGATTGTACTAGTAGTCTAATACTCCATAGTGCAGGAGTATTAGTACTCTAATACTCCTGCACCGCTACAGACGGGCCTTGTAACTGTTTCCTTGCGCCACTTTAGAAACAGCACTATTAATTAGAACCCAACAGTGAATAGTCGAGTGGGGAAACACACTATTATTGTTGAAAATTAAAATACTGCACAGGGTTCTTATATGCAAACTCGACAAGTTACGTATAGAATAGAAACATTACATGAGAATTCTGTTGAACAAAGAAGGCGTCTTGATTCTAAACGTATCAAAAGATGAGAATCTCCTTGCAGTTGCAATTTTCACTTGATGAGAGGTAAAATAAATGATTTGCACGATTGCACTTCTGACAGATGAAAAATAAACCGCCAGTTTTTCGCTATATAGTGTTCCAGTATTGCTAGGGTCAACCGTAACTATAGAAGAATTAGGGAATCCAAATCACGTGACTTTAAATAGTGGACAATTGGAAAAAACAACAAAAATGAGTGTGTGATGACTAAGCATGTATATTTTCTAGTTTTTGTTTTTCAGTGTTTAGTTGAAAAATGGAAAAATTAACATTTATCAAAAATATATGAATATTAAATATATGATTTAACAATCACAGTCAAACACTAATGTCAGGGCAACAAGCTGTTATTTTTGCCAATTTTGACCATTCCGATTTTAACGCCAATAAAATGCAATAGTGATTAAATTTTTTAAGTCCTTCAAGATATTCTATCTGTTTTGTCTTCTGCGTTTTACTGTAATGTATATTATCAAACTTTATGAGGCTTTATTGTATATGTTCAGTTCTTTATCTCTTAACGTTTTTTTTTTTTTTTGTTTATAATTCGTATATTATTTTTGTTTTATTTTTTAACTTTGCTTGTGATAACTGTAGATTATAATAAAACTTTTTTATTTTTTTGCAATTTTGTCAAATTATTTATTTGAAATAAAAAAATAAAATGTGTTCGAAGCATCTTCGTTTTAATAGGAAATTAAACAATTTATCCCTTATAAGAAAGCAAAAGGTCCTCGTGTGGCTTTTAAAGGGTTCTATGTAGATTCTAAGAGACCGGATCTTTAAGAAAAAAGTATTCGAATTTATCTGCTGATATATTGGAGTAAAGATATCGACAGCTAAACATCAAGCTGCATCATATACCAGTCGATAGTGCACTCTTAATTTTGACATCCCAACCTGAGGAATTCTTTTTTGTGGTAGAAGAGATGATATCCATTAAATTAAAATGTTTTACCTATTCTTCCAAGTTTTCTATCATAATACTGTAATTTCCATGCGATATATCTCGTCCGTGGCATTGAATGGGTTAATATAAATATATTCAAAATTATCTAAAATTAATATTTATTAAATTTTTAATCATAAATATTTTATTGAAATAATTAAATAGCTTTTGAATTAAAATACAATTATAAAAAAAAGAGAATTATTAAAGTAAAAATTTCCACTATAACTAAACTTCCTCTTCGATTCGGTCATAGGCCAAGCTACAAATTTCTGGCATAACTCCACCATTTTCTTCAGCGACTGTTTCATCTGGCATTTCAGTATCGTTTTGTGTTTTCTCTACATCATTCTTTGAAGACGATTCTCGAGTTTTTAAAAGCAATTTATCAGTTAATTTTGTTAAATTCTTGACTGACGATTTTTCTGGAAGTATCTGAAAATATGAAGGATAAATATATAAACAATACAAATAGCGCAAAAAATTATCGCACCAATTATATTTTTAAAGAAAAGAAACAAACGAAGGTACTTTCAAGTAAGTCAAACGCTTTGGGCTGTTAAACCATCATCAGGGCACTATAACGTAAAAAAAGAACGAAATTTAATAAAACTTACGCAGTGGCGCATCGAGAGTCTGGGGGGGAGTGGTAATCAAGGAACCCCTTATAAACAATAGCGGGACAGGGGATCAGGTTCAAAAACCAAACATTTTTATAAAATTGGGTCCTTTCTATGTCAAATTTCTAAAAAAGGTCTTGTCTCTTTGAAAAATCCTACAGCTGCTCCCCCCTCTCATGATGGTAATAAAGTTTATTTTTGATAATAGTATGTTTTAGTACTTATAAAATGTTAGGTTTAAAACTATTTGGGGGGGATATATACTTACCCCCATTACCTCTTCCCCCCATATATGCGCCTCTGTACACTTGGAAATATCTTCGTTTGTTTCTTTTCACTATCAGTGTGTGTACACCTACAACTTTTGTTTCTTCTCGTATACTGTAGCTACTAGAGTAGTTTTTGGACGACAGGTTACTGAAACAACACCATCTCCACGACCTGAGGCAGTACAAAAGGAGTTCTATCCCAACTTGCAAACTGACTGGTTTCAGCATACCAATCATATTTGCAAGTTTGAAAATATCGCGTACAACATAGTCTAAAAAGGACTAAAACACACCCGCATAGGGATTCTTATGTGCAGACTCGACATGTTATGTGTCGAATAGAGAGACATTACATAAAATATCGCAGTCTGTTTCCACTAGTGATGGGACTTCTCATGAAAAATAATTTTTGGACTAGTCCTATGGATATGTCCAAAATAGTGAAAAGTAGTCGACCTTGGGCATAGAAAACACAGTTAAAATCTACATCCTGCATGTTTTTTCAAAATCTTTTTGGAAACAATATTAGCACTTGTGTTTTCGTTTTTTTTTGCAAATTATTTATAATTTGTATCTGTAACGTGTGGAAGGTGGGTTACCCCACGGCACTTAAGCCTCATTTGGCCCATTGTGCATCCTCTTGAAATGATAGGCACCTCCTAGCTCATGAGCCAGCCTACAGATTTTATGTAGTTGACAACTTCGCCAAGAGGTGCTTCTCTTATAATACTACTGTTTATTTTATTAAGTTATGAAACAAAAATTCGAAAACATTGTTAAAACATATAAAAGTCAGTAATCATTTGTTATTCTTCTTTTTTAAACTATATTTTGCCTTTGTTCATAAGAAATTCAGACAAATTAGTTAATTTAATGTCACGCATAGGCAATATACTTTTTCACTTTTCAAAAGTGTGTTTGGACTAGTCAACTTTTCAGACTAGTCCGTAGACTTTTTCAAGTGACCCATCACTGTTTCAGACAAACTTTATGTTATAAACAACACCCATTACTTATTTTTGTTTTTTGTTTATCTACGTTTAAAATGACGCCGGTATAAATGATGCAATATTGTCTAGTATAAAACTTACCTGAACTAAATTATAACAATTATCCAGTAATTCGTCTATTCTCGTTTTACCATTTGGAATGTCAAGCATAAGCAATATTTTTGAATAGATGGTATTCATTTTGCTTTTCGGATATTCAGTCATTTCTTTGACTAATCTCACAGCTATCGTTGAGTGCAAATAGTCAACCTGAAAATGATTACTAAATGAAAGTAATTTCAAATTGAAATTTATAAAGTTAATAAAGGGGTTTGACAATGGGTTGATTCAAAGCACCACATTGTCAAGTCGCTTCCAAGGAACATCTGAATTAATTTAATGAAATAATTTCTACATAGTGTTGGAATTTGGTAATCATAAAACTTACAAGGGAAAAAAGGTAGGTACTTACTTTGTTTGATATTTTACAAAGTGCTAATAAGAATTTCGCAATATTTTCCACATTGACATCCGCCAAAGGGCTGGTTCTAGGAGCCGAATATAAGGCATTGATAGTCAGGAGAATTGCATCTATTAATACATCTGTCCAATCACTTAACAGAGGTACTTTTTGTAGTGCAAAGCCTATAATTTGTTTTAACCTGACACATTCATCTAAAAATAAAAAAAACAAGATCAGTACCAGAAACACACATGTAAATATCTATGTGTCAATATGTCATCTATGAATAAATGAAAAAAGATTGTTTGGATTCATAAATGATTTCTTTAGTGATAACAAAATTCTCACTCTTCATCTATAAATTTTAATGTTTTTAACTTCCAACTTAAGATTTTTCTAATTGTCTAACGAGCCAAACGACAATAACCCAAAAATAAACCGCGGTTCTTTTTTGGATAACTGTCGCGATCTACACTTCATTAGGAAGCATTTTAACATGAAAAATGTCACAAAAAATTGTCTTCACCTAGTAAATCCTTTCAAGTTGCACACTTATTAACCATTTAAATTTTTCACTCTTATCGCCCGGACTATAAAAACTTTAATTACATTGACCAAATCTTGTCACCCTTCGGGTTTTTGTGAAATGTTTTTTGTTGTACAAATGAAGAAATTCAACTTATTTATGAATTAAATTGCATGAAAAGTAATAATTAAAATATGAAAATTTATATTAGAACGGCACCAAGAAATTAGTATGTTTTATCAGTTTCAAAAATAGAAATTTTTGACCAGTTAAAAATGATTTTTATGAGCAGAAAAGCAAAGCACAACCACACGTTAACTATTTACTAAAAAAAGAAACTGTCACAATTTGTAATTTTAAGGACAAAAGAAATGTTAATAAAAAAATACCTGTAGCAGGATTACACCACTTAAGAACCAGTCTAGAAAGTAAAGATGGTGAAATAATTCTTCCGCTGAGGACCAGTTGACACAGTCCAAGTCCTGCCCTTTCTTGAATATCATATTGCTGAAAAAGATTACATTTAAAATGACTATATATTATTAGTGATAAAAAATATCCTCGACATAATTATAGGTCTAAAAGATTTTCCAATAGATGAGTTTATCCAAATAAAAAGTATATCAGGAGACATTTTGTCAGTTTAATTGCCAAAACAAATAAATAAAAGAAGTTCAGGAGTAAATTCAAGAAAAACACGAAAAAAATGGTTTAAAAAAAAAATAGGCGACTTCTAGGTTGCCATCTGAATGTCATAACCTCTAGACCACCAGAGCGACACACATACATCCAGCGACCTAATTGTTAATTTGAGTATAAGATTTGACTTCAGCTCAGTTTAGAGGTAAGAGGCTAGTAAACGAAAAAAAAAAAAAAAAAAAAAAAAAAGATCATGATAATCTTTATTTGTGGTGACGTAGTTTTTTGTCGAGAAAATTAAAGTTTACATTATAAATCAAACTTTTATAAACAATAAACATACTTATAGGTAGTTTTATCAAGCTCTCTAAGATCTAAGAATGTTAAATAAACATTAGTGTTAAACGATTTATTTAGTAAACGTTTTTTTTATTAAGTCATCAAGAAGGCACTGATAACTTTTTTGTGTGTAATCCATAACTCAAGAGAAGGTAAACAAACATTGTCGGATGTCTTCTCGATTAATGTTTACTTGACGTACGTCGTACGTCCAAAAGTATAGCATAATGACGTACGTCGTACGTCCACTGGGGCCGCAAGGGTAAATAGTATAAGGATTTAACCTAGATAAATGAAAATATATAAGATGTGTATGACGATTGTAAACATTTAAATAATAAAAAATATCAATACACAAATATAAATATTTTGGCTCCTGGTAACCTTAGTTGCTAGTTAGTACCAGTGGAGTGAGCTTAATCTTTATCTTTTACTATGACTGTTATAAATTTTTCGCAGGATGAAAGGTAAGGAGATCGTAACTTACGTCATCATCCATCAAGTCGACAAGGCCTCGTAAAACGTCTGTGAGAGCTGTACCGCCGGCGAAAACAGCTTGTTGACGCTCTTCCATGCTTTCCGATAACTCCCCGTTTTCTGGAGCAGCCATTAACTGTGTTCCGTATATTCTCAATACATCGACTACTGCTGATATACAAACAAGTAACGTTTGTGTATCACATTCATCGCCATTTTGATAAGCAAAAATCTAAAATTATATAACAAGAATAAGTATTAAAATTATATTTGTGGTATTGGTTAGTCTTTCACTACGATGTTTATAATCAAAATGAGATATTAAATGGGGTCTGATGAATAGAAATTGTAAAATAATGTGAAGGGCACCTAGGGGTGGAAATATTGAAATAAACCAAAGAAATATTTGAAAACAATCCGTTGCATTAAACTATTATTTTTAACAGAGAAATAAAAATTCAATACAAAATGTGAATACGGCCCTAACTAGGGCTCGCTTAACTTGTAGACTGCTGCCATAGGAGTAGGTTTGACATTCTCCCAGATTCAATGAAAATCCAACCTTTTTATATTAATATTTTATTAACAATGAACACTTTTCAATTCTTTACAGACTTGGTAACGATTAACACTTTTAATTAGTTACAGCATTGGTAACTATTAACACTTTTAATTATGTTCGTTGCTCAGAAAATAATTTTTATTAATTTACACCGCGGCCTGTAGCCGGGATTTTAGTTTCTGTGCCATCTGAATCGTTTAACAGTTGTTACCCGACTCACTGTCTCAACGTTTCGTGAAGATAGATGCCTATGAATACGTGCCAGAAAACAAGTTGGCCTTGAGTTAGCTTTGCGCTGATGCAACTCGGCGAACGCGATTATTGTCACGTAGACATTTATTTACAGATGTCCATAATGAACACCTGGTTACTGAGCACAGGATCGTCTCTCGATATGTTTCAAAGATATTTGTTTTGAAACACAATCCGTTTTCGGTGTGAGAATCGAACCAACAATCTTTGGCATACCGTCAGAGATATGTTAAATCTCCTTCGCTTGTCACATAGTGGTCCAATGATCATATAAAACTTGGCCAAATCTTTAAATTGTAAATTAATTAAAATTTTATTTCTGACATAAGGGTCTTTAAAACTATATCCTTAATATCTAAACCTCTACATGATTTATGTTTTAACTCTTTCTGTTCCGTGATAGCATTTGAAATAGCAGGTTTTTTGCTAAATTATTGTCATTATAGTTTAAAGGTGAATAATAGCGGCAAGCGTTATTCCTAATTGTAAGTTTTGTTTATTTATATTTTTAAAGTAAAATAAAATATGATATATGATATGACAGTACAACTATTTTACAGTCAGAAAGTTTGTGGTTTTTTTTTAAATTTATTTTTGAAAAAAAAAAAATCAAAAACTTTCAACTCACCAAGCAATCAAAATAGTGGGTCTAAACTATTACTAAATTAAACTATAAACAATAAATTGCTCAATAATAGGTCCTTTTTGATATAAAAACATAATGTGTAGAGACAATTTTAACACTTGTTTGAAATGATAAGGGGGTATAAATATTTATATTTGGAGTATTTTTGATGTTTTTACACCATCTGATACCTCCATTTAGGTAAATTTCAATACTAAATAAATGGCATTTATCTGTATAGAAAGATGAATTTACAAATGAAGAGAGAACTTTCTGAACTGTTGCACCAATGTTTAGGTGGTAAACACGAACAGAGGAGACATCTGGAATCTATTTTTCTTTTAGAGGACCTGAGAATGAGATTAAATTTTGATGAAATTTGGTAAAATTATATCTTTTTGTTTTAAATAAGTAAAAACTAAATAAAATTCAAAAAAATTTGGGAAATATTTTTTTTTTCAGTCAACAACACCTTTTTGTATAAAAAAAGAAATTCTACGGTGAAAAATTATCGTACAAAGTTCTTCAGGTACCTACTCATTTTTTTCGTTTTGATAAAATATAAAAAAAACTATAGTCAACATTAAAAAAACATGCTCAAAAAGGAATAAAAACAAAAAATGACAATGGCAACAATGACTTAATCCTCAATTATTAACCGACTTCAAAAAAGGAGGAGGTTATCAAATCTAATAATTGGGTCCATGAGAAAATCCTCACTCTTCATTTTTTATGTATGTTTAGCGATAATGCTTTACCACCTTGTCCGATTTATATGATTCTTTTTTTGTTAGTAAGGGGGTACCTCAGGGGTGATTCCACATAAACTTGGTTAAGATGTGGTGATGGCATCTGCACGTTTTTGAAGTCGTTTTTTTTATTTTTTTATTTCTAATACTGCACCATTCAATTGTGTGGAAAGAATATAAAAGCAACTGTTTTTTTTTATTTTTTGACCAGTATTCCTATTTTTGTTATACAGAGAAGGACTTTAACTAAAACTAATTCGCTAGAGCCCCAGGGTAAAACATTTAGATAAAACGCAAAAACAGGTCGATTGAGTTTTTTGTGTGCTTTTTTTGCCTATTTAAGATACAAAGGTATAATTTCACCAAATTTCATCAAAATTAAATTATAAAAATAAAAACCCAGGCAGCACACATTAGTATAACTAACGTATTTTATACATAATACTCGTTTAATTTTGGTATTGGTTGATTCCGTATACGTTTACAGTTTACGATTATTATACATACCGTGTTTTAAACGATATATTATACGTTTTTTATATACATCATATGGTATATAATTGTAAATTTTTCTACGTTTAAATATAGTTAACAATATACGACTATTTTTAGTTTGCGATGAACTATTTATATACAGTGGGCCTAAATATACGTTTAGGTTTATTTAAATTAAATTCGTATAAATTTACATAATATTACAATATGTGTTCTTCGTTTATAATTACCGTTTAAATTTCGTCTTGGTTAATTTTTTAAACGTTTACCATCTACCATTTTTATACTTAACGTTTTTTAACAGATAAATTAAACGCTTTTGTTTGTCGATACTAGTGAATATACCTATATTATTCTACGTTTAAATATACAGTCTCTTTAAACACATATTACCAGTTTACGATGAACAAGTAGACAGAAGTAAATAATATGTATATATTTAGGTTTATTTAAATTAAAAGCTTATAGTTATATTTATTTACATTACATCCATATTGTTTTAATTATATTACCTGTAATATTTATAACAAATTCCCCATACACACGGAACTATATTTAGATGGCGGATAGAAGATGACGTACTAGTGGTACGGTCTTTTCTCATTTCTACTCATGCGTAAGTAGTTGTATTATTGGTTTGTGGCAGCAAGTTCGTCGATTTTCAATTGTGTACACGTTTTGTTGCATTGTATGTTGCTTTGGCGTCCTGGCTTTTACGATATTGATTAAAAGCATAGGTAAGTTTCTGTTAACGTTTTAATTTAGCTACTCCTCTAACAATTGTTGCATTTTACAACAACAACTGTTTTATAGGAAGATACAGTGTGTAAAAGGCTTATAGAAACTCCAAAACATATCCTTACTTTTGTTTCTCTTATTTTTATACGTAATTTTCTACCTAGTTATTTCAAGCATACTTATTTTCCTTTTTTTTTGGTCAGTTGTTTTTTATTTAATAAAATGTCTAAAATAACCCTGTCTCGGCGTCATCTACATAGAAAAATAGCACGAAATATTCAAGATGCTTTAAAGTCAAATCAAATTTTTTTTATTTCCAATGAAGATAACATTAATAAGGCTTCGGACATTAATATATTATCTGATTCTATTATTTATAATAATTTCCAAGAAAATAATACAAATTTAAGTTTGGAGCTTTTAGAAAATATTTCACCTGAAATTAAGTTACATTTTGGTTATAGGAATGGGGGTGAACCAAGCGACTTAACTGACTGGACGATTAGGTGTGCCATGCAAGTATTGGCTTAAGTTAGCTAAGGCCCATCTAGGACACAACATATCCAAAGTGTTGAGCTAAGATTTTAATTTTCATATATATTTTTTGTTAGTTAAAGAAAAGTTCCGTTTAGTTTGTTATTCAGTATTTTAGTGTTTATTTTTTAGTATTTTGTTTTTTTTTTTTAATAAAATATTGTTCTGTACATATAACAAGTGGTCAAAAAAATTTCCTAAATATTTAGGCCAATTACAACCAAAATAGACATACGAGTAATGCCTATTACTGGTGTATACACACATGCTATGGATGAAATCCAAATTGTTATTAACATTTTTCCATGGCCTCATTCGCATCTAGTAGAATGGAATATGACCGAGGAATGTTAACTGAATCATATGCAGCAGAAATATTGATGGAAAGACCAATAGTACATTCATTAAAGAAGAAGCCTATTTGAACGTGTGAGGTAAGATAAACATGGCAATCCATACAACCCCGGCCTCTTCTGAGGTCCAATTGTAAGGGATTAAAAATTTGGTTATTTCCCAAATGTCAGTTTTTGATTAAGGATTCTAATAGTTTGCCTATGCAGGAGGAAAGGGAAATTATTAGCCTATAATTTGAAGCTACTATTTTGTCCTTATTTGTGACATCTACAAAAGCTGTAGATTTTTACTTGATCTACAACTTTTGCATTATACATTTTATTTTTGACGTAAACTTTCGCCGGATATCGCGAATATAATTTTTCACTCCTTTTTTACCCCCTAAAACTTCACTTCAACCCCACCAGGTGGCATTTTTTTATTAAGCCTCTCTATAGTTTACACTTATCAAAGTCCTGTTAACAATTTTTTTCTCAAAGTTTAATTTGGTTGGACTAACAGAAGTATTTGAAAGTGAGGGCGGCGACCAATTTTTTTTTTCAGGTATTGGAACGGGACAAAAGTATTTAGCAGTGAGGGCGGCAACTCGGAGCCCCCCTCACTGAGGGCGCAACCCTGCATTTAAAAGTAAACATATTAAAAAACTATATACCGCTGTTGAAAAAATGTGGATTCCCGACATAGCCGTATCTTTATCAATAATACAACAAAGTCCATAACAATTAAGGGCTTTCGTGTGAACATTGTCGTTGTTGTCTATCAATAATCCTTGAATAAAATCTTCTTTCAACGATTTCAAACACGGTGTAAGTTTGTCCAGTTTCGGACACTTTAGAACTGCAGCTGCTATATCCAAACATTTAATTATTGTTGCGACATCGGTTTTTTTCTCAATTTGTTGAGCAGGTTCGAGGTTGATGTTTTTGAGATTTGTTAAATCGGCATCCAATTTTATTAATTTTTGTTTCAAATTCTCGGCTTCTACAAAATTTTGATTGTTTATTGCTATCTCTTGTTCATGCATTGTTTTCGTTATTTCTACAGTTAACTTTGATATCTGAAAAATTATAAAGAAATAATTATGTGTTAATAAAAATCATTTTTCAAAGTTAAAATTCAAATTTAAAATAAATCAACACACAGACCAGCCCTAACTAAATTCCTTAACAATAAATATTTCAATTTAAAATGCATTACAGGATCTGTAAGTAAGATCGACCTTCACCCATCTGTTTAATGGATGCAAGTTTTTTTTCTGTATACAGATAAGGAAGGTATAGAAATCATGATAAAAGTTGCTTGTGATGTCATTCTCTATAATTTTGTTCCTATACATGATTTCCCTAAAATGGATCTAATTCGAGATATTGCAGGAAAAGTTCAAATTTTGAAGATAACTTAAAAAGGGATGAAGAGAAAAATACCAAATTTTAAATATAAGCTTTAATCCATCCTGTGGTGAGCTGATTAAAGTTTGGGCATAGTCAAAGATCTGGGGAATATTTTACAGGGTGTCTTTTTTTACTTTAAGAAAATAAATAGTCTTGACTGTATATTCTTATACAACCCATTTGTGGTATAGAAAAAAATGCAGTTTGGAGTAAATCCACATTTTAACAAAAAAAAAAAAAAATGATTTTCATAAGTAAACAAGCCGTCCAAACACATAAATTAAAAAAAAATCCCGACGGCCCCATGAAATTTACCCACTCCCCCAAAAAATGTTTTTTCTCTTCCATTTTTGAAAAATAAAACATTTCTAATTAAAAAATTATGTTTTTATTCACAAGAAAATATAAAAATACGGAAAAATCCGCCATTGGTCAAACGGGCCTTTTTTATGCCATTTTAGACCCTCTGAAACACATTTCAAAATACTTTTTTTGCCCTGGAAACGCTTAAAAATATGTTTTTATATATCGCATTTTGATTAATTTTTTGCAATAGAATTAAAAAAAAAACTTTATTTACCTAACCTACACAGCCTGGATACTTCGCAAAAAAATTATACATAAAATGAGAAAAAACCTAACTAATTTACCTAACCTGTAAGCCCAGGGGCCATCGCGGGTTGTTTCTTCAAAAAATAATACATGAAATGAGAACATTTTAAAAAACGTAACTAGTTACCTAACCTGTAAGTCCTAGAGCCATCGCAGGTGATTTCGCAAAAATTATACAAAAACCTAACCTGTGCGGCCTGGAACTATCGCAGATTGTTGAGGTCAGAAGCCATCGCAGGTTGTTTCTTTAAAAAAATAATACATAAAATGAGAAAAATTAAAAACTTAACTAATTTTGCTTACCCCTATGACCTGGGACCATCGCGGGTTGTTTCGCAAAAAAAACCCTAACTAATTTACCTAACCTGTGCGGCCTGGGGCCATCTCTGATGATGTATTAAATTATTATTTTATTCATAAGTTTTCTCCATGATTTTGGCTCATAGATCCTTTTGAAGTTATGGTCTTCAATTATAGAGAACAACATTACAAGCAACTTTTATTTGATATTCCACAAAGTAGAAAAACGACTCCCTATAAAGCACCCCCCGAATGTTCCGACTATGACCAAAATAATAATAATAATAATTTCACCACAGATTAAATTTAAAATTTAGTGTTTTTCTCTTCATCTGTTTTTGAGTTATCTTCAAAATTCGAAATTGCACCTTTTCTAAAATATCTCGAATACGATCCATTTTAGAGAAATTATGTATGGGATAAGAATTATAGGGAATCACATTACAAACAACTTGTAGTTAAACAATTTTCCTAAAAATACGAATTTTGCACTTTTTGTCAAATATCTCGAATATGGACCATTTAGGGAAAATTATGTATAATTATAGACAATAATATTACAAGCCACTTTTATTCGAAAAATTTTCTTCCCCAAGCGTAAATAACAGATGTATTCCATAAAGTTACAAAAACGACCCCCTATAAAGTATCCCCCCAGATATTTCGACTATGCCCAAAATCTGATCAGCTCACTGCAGATGGATTAAAGCGTAAGTTTAAAATTTGGTGTTTTTCAAGTTATCAAGTATTCAGTCACACAGACAGGAAAGTAAAAATGCCTGAAAAATCCTAGAACTTTAAAAACGATTCGTAATCATATTTTTTTTTTATAGATTTTCGAACGATAAAATAGCTTTGCGCAGTCAATAAAGCTCCGAACTGTTCTGAACTTTTGTTGAAACAAACTCATTACAATTACAATTTTCAAAATTCATTAATATATCATAAACTTTGTATATTCTTACCTTAAATTGATGTTCTTGTTGTTTCCTTTCAACTTCATCAGAATCCATAGGGCACTCAATTTCAGAAATTAATTCGCAAACATATTGAGTACGTTGCTCAATGTTGGGTATGGAATATTCCAAAGCGCCTATTACCGTTTCTATAACGTCTGATATGAATATCACATCTTTTAAAATATTTGTTACTAAATTATTTAAACAATTTCTTGCGGTTACGTCTCCAAAATCGTATGTTGTTGTTATCAAAAATAATTGCTTCAGTATGAACTGTTGTTCTAAAAATTCATCAACTGTGACTTCTTTTGGCATTTCTGTATAAAATCTAAAAAGAACAACCAACATTAAAAACTTTTTTATTTTTATATTAAGAAATTTAAAAAAATGGTCGTAGGTTGATAACTTACTTTTTTATGTAGTTACAGAAATAGATTAATTCCGGTATAATTTTTTCTAATTCTTCTTCAAAGTCATTTCGTTTACTCAAATATTGCACATACATTCTCCAAAAACTGACCATTTCCCAATTTAGTTTATCATACGGCACCAACTTTTTCTCGTCTAATATCAAAGTTGAAGAAAGGATTTCTGGAGAAGTGGTTCTAAAAAAAACCCACTTGATATTATTATTTGATTCATGTTTTCAAAGGACCCCGCAATAATCTTATGGAAATTGGGTTTCTGTCAAATTGTCTGAATTTTTGATATGTTGTAGATGTTGTCTCCATGGGCACAAAGTGCTAAAATGAATATTTTGGCAGCTACGGAGCTGCCAAAGCTCCCCTGACCCGTTGCAAAACTATTCATTTTCAATACTATTTACAGATGTCAAAAGCATATTTTGATTATTCTAATATATAGGGTAATGTTTTTGAGGTCACTGGATTCAACCCTCATGTCAGATTGGACAAAATGACCGTTGACAGCTGTCAATTCACGGTCAACGAGGAATATAAAAGTAAATATCCTCTTTTCACATTGGGTTTTTGAGGTCGTTGACAGTTGACAGCTGTCAACTGCCAATTTGTCCAATCTGACATGAGAATTGAATTTAGCGACCTTAAAAACTCAAACTCTCAATGTGAAAAGAGGATATTTACTTTGATTTCTCGTTGACCGTGAATTGACAGCTGTCAACGGTTAATTTGTCCAATCTGACATGAGAATTGAATTCATCGACCTCAAAAACCAAAATTCTCAATGTGAAAAGAGGATATTTACTTTTATATTTCTCGTTGACACTCAATTGACAGCTGTCAACTGTCAATTTGTCCAATCTGACATGAAAATTGAATTCAGCAACCTCAAAAACCCAAACTCTCAATGTGAGAAGAGGATATTTACTTTTATATTCCTCGTTGACCGTAAATTGACAGCTGTCAACAGTTAATTTGTCCAATCTGACATGAGAATTGAATTCATCGACCTCAAAAACCCAAATTCTCAATGTGAAAAGAGGATATTTACTTTTATATTCCTCGTTGACACTCAATTGACAGCTGTCAACTGTCAATTTGTCCAATCTGACATAAGAATTGAATTCAGCGACCTCAAAAACCCAAACTCTTAATGTGAAAAGAGGATATATTTACTTTTATATTCTTCGTTGACAGTGAATTGACAGCTGTCAACGGTCGAATTTGTCTAATCTGACATGAGGGTTGAATCCAGTGACCTCAAAAACATTACTCTATATATTTGAACAATTAAAACATGCTTTTGACATCTGTAAATAGTATTGAAAATGAATAGTTTTGCAATGGGTCAGGGGAGCTTTGGCAGCTCCGTAGCTGCCAAAATATTCATTTTGGCACTTTGTGTCCATGGAGACCTTTGTTCAGGATGACAAAATCTTCAACATATCAAAAATTCAGACCCAATTTCCATAAGATTATTGCGGGGTCCTTTAAAAAACTTTCATCGTCAATAAAGACTAGTTGGTTATAATGAATTCATTATTGGACATTTAGGAGTCACGAGGAAGCCTAAGGAAATCAAAGTAATGACGAGTTTTTAACTGCCAATGAGCGTGTGAAATTTAGAAATATTTTCCCTTTACAAAATTTCTTAATTTTGTTATTGAAAAAAATTTGAAAAAGACATTTCATGATCTTCAAATTTCCTCAGAATAAAGCGTCAAATCTTATTGGATAATTTATAATGTTTATTCCAACAACGATCGGAAATCAGTCATTGACACCAGGATTCTGCGCAATAATTATTTAGACCGCCAAATTCATATTGAGCACAATTCTGGTGTCAATGACTGGTTTCTGATCGTTGTTGAAACATACGTCTTATTAATCATTAGAAGGTTAACATCCTACAATAAAATTTAAAAAATATAATCCAAGTATATTTGAAAATCATAACAAAATCATGAAACACATTATTATTTATTTATGATGAGTAGCTACATTTTCAATTTTCAAGTTCCTACCTTTGTTCAGATTTGAACATTTTTCTTTATATTCACCAATTAAATTAATGAAATTAATTATTTATTTAAAATGTTTAATTTCATATGCAATTAATAATAAACACGTTCCAATTTCGTATCTAGTTCGATGTGTAAAGTATAATAATAAAAATGCTGACTTATTTCAAAATTATTTTCAAAACATTGAACTAGAGAGACTGAAATTGGAATAAAAATATTTTTGTAATGTACATTTAAATAATTAAATAATATTAATTGTTATTGTATATTGTTCATTCTGTGATAATATAAATGTAAATGCAAAACGAAAAATAAAGAAATTAACTAACAACATGTGGTACACAATTATCTCTAAAATGAGATTCATGAAAACCATCTTGTGGTATTAATTACAACAATTATCTTTAAAATCTATTCAACTTTTAAAAAAATCGTTACTCCTATAACTACAAACTTTTATCCCGCTCCCCGTTTCCCCACTTTAAAATGTAAAAATCATAAATTCTTTGTAAATGTAAATTAGTAGTAGTTTCTCTAGTGCTCTACATACAGTGTTAAAAAAAATGTCATTACAACTTACCGAAAAATAACTTTTAAAACGTTTTCAAATAATTCTACAGTATTTTCAATATCTTTTTCATCGGCATCCAATCTTATGGACTTCATAAATATAAGTATATTATTTTCATAGAATTCCAACCATGCTTTGATTAAACCCGAAGATATATACTCTTTAACGTTTTCAGATTTATCTAGAAAGCCGCTATGTAAAACCAAACGCTTCTCAGAAATCTGAAATAAAGCAATTCATTGTTTTCTCCGCAAATAAATAGATATTTTACTATACCTTCAAAAAACCTGCGAATTTTGACAGTCTTTTAAACGCAGCAAGGCGTACATTTGGATCTACATCTCGAGTTCTCATTAGTATGTGACAAACAACATCCCTTCGAGCTGCTATTTTTTCTACACAAAGTTGTCGAACCTGATAAACAAATGTAGCCAAATGATTTAATAGTATCTTACACACCGAGGTGGGAAGAGTTTCATTCCTGTCGTGAGACGCGAAGCGTCGAGGTTAGCTATGATCTCGAGACAGGAATGAATCTTCCTACCGAGGTTTGTATACTATTTTATTTACAACCATCATATTTCGATCAAAGTTAATAAATCTCTGTTTCGTTCTGAACATACCTAAAATATTACATTTAACGACAAATTACCAGGCGCGTGGTTTTTTCAGAATAATCAAGTAAATATAGTTACCGTGATTACGGGGTAAACAATTGTCACCAATATAAATAAATGTCAGATAAAGTCGGATATTAAATTCGCGAATAATAAATATCAATAAGTAGTTTGTTGTATTTTAGTTCATTGTTGTTTTTTATTGTTTGCCATTAAATAGGTATTATAAAATTTGTCAAAAAATGTGTTATTTTTTTAAATATATAAAATATTCATCTAGAATAGATGAAATGAGGGCGGGAAGTAGAGGTGTGTAATGTGGCACTTCCCAACCTTCAATGACGTTAGTAATGACAGCATTACATATATGGTTGTAAATAAACTTTATAATATACCGTTTAAAAATAAAAAAAACTTTGTACACATAAAATACCTTTGGATAGCAATCAGAATTCATCAAATGAATCAATTCTGAAATTATAACATCATCAGGATTCGCTGGATTTTGCAGTCTGTGTAATGTAATAACGGCATGTTGCCTGACAGCACTCTTAGTATCCTACAAAAAAGAACATTCAACAAAACAAAGGTCTAAGGGTGTGTACCTGCCGAAGATGCCTCAATAATCAATGGTTAAGTGGATGGCAATCGATGTAATACAAATGTATGGTGCCAGGGTGCCCTAATCTTTGGTATGAATACTCTCATTTAAATTAGTACATTTGTTATTAGAATAGAATAATTTATTAACCTTCATTACATATAAAGATATACAAAAAAAGTTATTGTACGACTTGCCTTGTATAACAGACTCGTATGTTGTTTGTGATTTTAGTTCTTCAGGCAAAGCATTATAGATAGTAATAGTTATATAAAGGAGACCTTCTGAAAGTCGTTGTCTGGTAGCTAGGAAGTCTTAAATTGTCATTCCTTTTATAATGAGAATGAATTTGAGATTGTTTAATAAATTCAGAGAGGTACTTCCTTGTAAACGTACATTTGAAAATATATATACACGAAAATGTTAAAATTGATTTCGTTTTAAAAATGTTTTTGCAACTTTCGATATTTTTTAGATTAAATATTAAACGAAGTATTCTTTTTTGGTACACAAACACCCTATTATTTTCTGAGGCTTTTCCCCATGACAAAACATTATAAGATAAATGAGAATAAGCGAATGCATAATAAAGATCAATCAAGCTTTTTTTCATCCATCATCTATCATCTGAAATATTGCATAAAAAGTTTTATTCAGTTGTCCACATACATAGTCTATGTGATGTTCAAAGCTCATGTTTGAGTCCAACCATGTACCCAATAGTTTGGCATGCGTTTCAAATTTAAACGAAAGTTCTTTACTTATTGACTCTAGTAAAAATTTCTTTATATGGAAGTTTAAACATACCGTTTTGTCTTCATTAAGAATTAAACAATTTTTATGGCACCATTGTTTCATTTGACAATACATTGGCTATCAGTCATCGATCATCGAGGCATATATACGCCCTTATTAGAACATTTTTTTCTCAATAAATGTTACTGAGAAATTGCATTCCTTTTAAATTGTAAATTTATTGAATACATTTTCAATAGTTTAACGTACAGGGTAGAGAGTGACTGGTTAAGGGCTCTTAATGGCTATGTATCTCAGAATATTTTATGTATTATTTTGAAAAAAAAAAAAAACTTAAAAACAAATCTATTTTAATTCCAAGTGGAACAACTTTCTATGGGCATCTTTTTGGATCTGGAAAAAATATTTGATACTGTGATATACCAAATTTTGCTGACCAATTATTTGAATCATACCTAAGTGAAAGAACCCAAAGTATTAAAATCGATAATAGCATAAGTACACCTAAGTTGGTAGAGTTTGGTGTGCCACAGGGAACGGTGCTTGGACCAGTTCTTTTCTTAATTTATGTTAATTAATTATTAAACTTGATTTCTGATGATGAGGGGCTACATAGTTTGTTTTGCAGATGATACTTCCATCGTAATTAAAGGAAAAGGTTAGAAAAAAATGGTGCTTGAAGCAGAAGCAGTTATAACAAAAATAAAATCATGGTTTGACAAAAATTATTTAATCTTTAATGCTGATAAGTCTGTCTTGACAATTTTTCTTTCTTCATAATAACATGTCATATACCCATAACAACTAACAACAAGCTCCTACACCTCATATTACAGATTTAACAACAAAAAAGGATTCAAAAAATGTGACTTGATTCTGGGATACACAGGCAGTTAAAGTTAATGGAGATCCAAGTGCAGAAACTAAAACGTTAAAGACGAGAAAAACTGCAGATCACCAACTGTTTTTTACAATTTTAGAATGTGAAACGGGCAAAGATAAAATAACTTTTTTTATGGACATTCAAAATGAATGGGAAGGGCCTACTAAAAACATATCTTTATTTAAGACAGAATATATTCCAATCTATACGTCCTCACTGTCTTTACGTCTTTATTGCACAAAAGTAAAGTACATAGGGCGAGATTTAGCTTGGCTATATATGTATGTAATGGTAATACTTACTTGAAATCTTTTTAATAGAACATCTTCAAGTTTTTCGCATAGTTCTTCACTGATTTCTACTCCAACCAAATTATCTAGAATGACATTAATAATTTGGCACGACCTAATCCTAACGTTGTCATCACTTACTTCAGATGTCTAATAAAAATACCATAATAATAAAATAAGGTAAATATCTGCTTAACCTCTTATCGATTATGAAAAATTTAAGCATATATTCTGGTGCATGCGCCAACATTCAGTTCGAAGTTTTTTAATATTAAATATCGTCATCTAAACCTTTTAAAAAGGTAATTTCTAATGCCTCTTCCATATTATGTACCATTGTAAACAAGAAAAAATATGAACTGTAATAATTTAAGATTATTAAAATGATGTTAGAAATATGAGGACAAGGACTCTAATGTTAAAATTTCAGGTTTGCAATGTCTTATTTTAGCATGGAATTTATTTGCCTCTACGTTGTCACTATTAGTGGCTGATGTTATAGAAATTTGCAATATCTCTCTAGCATAACAAATACTGTATTTAATATTTATTTATATTTTTTGTATATAGGATGTACCTATTTTAATAAGCTATTCTATGTAAATATTTTTTGTTTATAGTGACACCGACAATTATGTAGGCTTACTTTTTTCCTAAACAAAAAGAGGTCAAACTAGATAGTGACCTAAAATAGTTAAGGAAGTGACTATTCTGCCGTAAGCCGGTAGTCTAGAGTCTCTTACTAATCTGCCGTAAGTCGGTAGTCTAGGTAGAGCCTGGTGCTAATCTGCCGTAAGTCGGTAGTCTAGTGCTAATCTGCCGTAAGTCGGTAGTCTAGTGCTAATCTGCCGTAAGTCAGTAGAATAGCATTTAGTATTAATGATCCATAAGTCAATTACTATTCGCTCCGTGCGAAGTCATGGAAAGGGAAGCAAAAGTGATACTAGCGCTAGCTGTTGATAATTCGTGCATTTTAGGGCGTAATTTTGTGATTTTGGCATATCAAATACACGTATACATTTTACTTTTTTTTTAAAAAGTAGGTAAAAATAATACAATAAGCAACCGAAGTTGCTGTGTTGAAAATTGTACAAATACTAGCAAAAAAAAAACAGTGAAACTTATATAAAAAATTTCAATAGCAAAGTGAAAATTAAATCAAAGAAATAAATGGATAGGTGTACAATAAGAAGAAAAATTACCTCTATTTTTGTAATAATAACAGTAATGCTGGAAATATTAGACATCAGAAACTTGAAAGGTTTTAAATAAACAATAAATTATCATTTTACGATGTTCTTTAATATCCCTTTATTCTTAAATGTTCATTCAGCAAGGACTAGATTTCAAGATTTCTGCCTTTCATTATTATATGTGGCTGGAATGCAATTTTGTGACTTACTGATGGGAAACCAGTTTTAATCATTCATTTTTCTTTCGAACAAAAATGAAAATATAAATAACGATTCTTTGTTTATACATTTTAACTTCGCGCTATTATTAAATGGTATTTTTTTATTTTGACAGAATATGCTAATTCTTCAATGACAACTTATTAGACTTAGGCAACTTCTCATACATTTTTCAGTAAATACTGTTACCTGCCTATATTTTATTATTGATTTTTATTGATTATACATAATTTTTTTTAATTTAAGCGATAAAAATATATAATAATAATAAATTAATGTTTTACTTATTTTACAAATCCATATACTTTTGTTAAAACTAACATATATACTTTTTAGTTACCAATTCTATTAAAAATTGTATTTGTTAGTATACGCAGAAATAGTCCATTAATACCAAAACGAATTGGCGCTGCTGTCGCGCACGGAGCGAATAGTAGAACTTAACATTCATTAAATACAAAAAAATCCGTAGAGGGGAAAAAATGAGACAAATACATATATAAAAATGATTTATTGTACATTTATTGTAAACAAAATAAAAATGATTGTACTTAAACAAAAGTAAGTAGAAACATTAGAGCAAACAACCCTTAAAATATAAATATATACACAGGGTGTCCCGAAATTAGACGGTTATATTTTAACAGCGTAATCTACATCCTAAAATAGGAATAAAAGTTCAATAAACATAGGTCCGAAAACGTTCCGTTTTCGAGATACAGGGTGTTACAAGTGAAGTCCTGATGGCATATTTTTGTAAATATTTTTTTAAATGTCTTTAGTCACCGGTTTTTCAAAGTAAAAAAAAATAGAATTTCTGATTTCACAGGCCTACTAATTATTGTTTACACTTTCGAAATTTTCAAATGCTTTTTTCTTGAAAATGGTACGTCCTAGCGAGATGCAACAAAAGTAACTTTATTGTAAAGAAAACATTGGTTTTCCAAATTTTATAGTCAAAAATGGTAAAAACTGTCAACAAAAAAAACTTAGGGCAATTTTACCCTAAGCCCCCCCAAATTTACCCACCTATGAAGATGATCAAAAACTGGGGTTTAGTCCATTGAGCGTAAAAAGGTTAGCATGTGTACCAAATTTCACTTAGTTATCTTTAAACGTTTAGAAAACATTTACAAAAGAGTGTCATCAGGACTTTACTTTTAACACCCTGTATCTCGGAAAAGAAACGTTTTCGGACCTATGTTTATATGAACTTTTACTCCTATTTTAGGATGTAGATTATTGTGTTAAAATATGACCGTCTAATTTCGGGACACCCTGTATAGAGAACACAATAGAATGCATACAAATGTAACATTTAAATGAAATAAAAAAATATTCTAAAATAAGTAAACCTGTAATTTAATGAATTACTTTCTTTTGCATACTGAGCACAAATAGTCTTTGGATTTATTAAATACTTTTTGGTTTGTACATTGCACATGTATCCATCTCAGACAAGTATCACAGCCTATGCTATCTTCTTTTACTTGCTTTTCACATATTGGACAAAACCAGGACTTCTTATAATTTCTAGTATTTAATAAGTCTTGTAATTTACTGAATGCTTTATCACTAAAATAGTTTCGTATGGTAGCAACATTTACTTCATCTTCAAATATAAGGCAATTTATTTGTTCTGGTTTCAATTTGGAAACATCTTCTTAAGTAATTGTATACTGGTTATTTAAGGCCGCATTAACTAAGTCCTGATTTATTCCAAAGATAGCTCCAAATATAATTTTTTTGACAATAAAGTGCACTAAGTGCAAAAGGTTTAACTTTTTGTTTCTTCTTACACTCAATTGCAGTAAGATTTAATCCTTTTGGCCGTCCCCTTCTTTTCATAATTAATGATAATTTAATATTTTTCAGATCATTAATAGGCTGAGATTTATTTGTTACTTGTTATAATTATTTATTTGTCCATTTTCACTTGTACTTTCCACAAATTCATTAAATTCAATGTTATGTTTATTTACAGGTAAACAGTTATGATTGTTTATTTGTTCATTTTCACTTGTACTTTCCACAAATTTATTCAATTCAATGTTTTCTTTATTACTAGAACTATTGCATACATCAACAAATTCACTATTGGGAGAATTGCTTACTTTAAATCTTTTCGTTTCTGTCACATATTCTTGTTCATTCTCTGCCACATCTACAATCTCCACAATTTCAATTTTTTTTTCGATTATTCAATAACATTAGCAGAGTGTCAAGTTTTGTCATATTGTCTTTAAAATCTTGAGATCCGTATTCTTAAAGTACACTGGCAATTTTAGTGGCAGTTAATATTGTCTGTTTATATCTCCTGTTGGTGTGTAAAGCAAGACTGATGTATCTGTATTTGAGATAAACCTAAATTATGACTAAATTCAGACACTTCAGAAAAGGAACTGTCAATAGAAGTGTAGTTTTCTATATAATGTTTTTGTTTAAATCTATTACATATTAAATTCTCATCATATAGGTTTATATTCAGCTGACGTTTTAAAGCAAATATATGCTTACATACTAGTGTAGTATTTTTCTTAAAAATAAATGAGCAACTGTCAATAGAGCAATTTATAGATTCTTTATTTTCATTAAAGGTGACCCCCTTATCATGTGTATCACTAACGCCCGTATGCACCGTACACGTTTAATCCAGATCAAGGGTTTAATCGCGTTTAGTACCATTGCTAAATATGGTACTAAACGCGATTATACCCTTGATCTGGATTAAACATGTACGGTGCATACGGGCGTAAATGTTACATTTTTGGCATTCTGCATGCTTTTTAAAACAAAATTGAAAGCAAACGGTGTCAACAAATTATTCTACAAATATTAGTCCATTTAAAATAACGGTAAAAGGTCGAGAAACGCCGCACTTGGCGAGACTACTTGTCCCTTACGTATTTTGGGGCGCTGATTACGAAAATAAAAGTTAAAACTGGCAGCAATGGTTAGAACACCCCTAAAATTGCAAAAAACACCCATAAATAGGGGTGTTTTTCAACTATACTTGTTGTTTTGCAATCTAACTCATCTCATATGTTTTTTGGGGCGCTGATTACGAAAATCGGGGTTATCTTGCAGCAATGGTTGAACCGCCCCTAAAATTGCAAAAAACACCCTTAATTAGGGGTGTTTTTCGACTGTACTTGTTGTTTTGCAAACTAACTTATCTCATATGTTTTTTGGGCGCTGATTACGAAAATCAGGGTTAAAACTTGCATTAACGGTTGAACTATCCCTAAAATTGCAGAAAAACACCCCTAGTTAGGGGTGTTTTTCGTCTGTACTTGTTGTTTTGCAAACTAACTCATCTCATATGTTTTTTGGGATGCTGATTTCGAAAATCGTGGTGTCGAGACTGGAAAATTTGTGTGACATGCCAGAAACACCCCTCCCAAGGGGTGAATTTTCGGAAAAAATGACCAGTCACGCTGTTCCGCGAACTAAGTTGATTGGGCCGAAACAACAACAGATTTTGAAGAGGATGAAGAAATTTCTCCATGTAAAATACCAAGACTAGATTTGAATACAACTGAATAGTGATATCTTGTAAGAAGTTTGATACTTGTCATATTTCATATCTATTAATAAAAATATATTCCATTTTTAGTTTTTGCATTTTATATTTCATTTTTCACCAAAATCCACCGGTTGGGAGGGGTGTTTCTGGCATGTGGGGGGCGGGGCGTCACACAAATTTTCCAGACTCGACACCCCGATTTTCGAAATCAGCGACCCAAAAAACATATGAGATGAGTTAGTTTGCAAAACAACAACTACAGTCAAAAACACCCCTACCTAGGGGTGTTTCTTGCAATTTTAGGGGTGGTTCAACCATTGCTGCAAGTTTTAACCCCCATTTTCGTAATCAGCGCCCCAAAAACATATAAGATGGTTTAGTTTGCAAAACAACAAGTACAGTTGAAAAACATGCCTAATTAGGGGTGTTTTTTGCAATTTTAGGGGTGTTCCAACCATTGCTGCCAGTTTTAACCCTCATTTTCGTAATCAGCGCCCCTTTTACCGACCTTTTACCGTTATTTTAAATGGACTATATCTGCACTTCCAACTTCAAACTGATTAACAGCTTGTTTTAATAAGAATGTGTTAGCTTTATGAGACTTCTCTATTCTAATCCCCTCAAATAATATCAACAGATCTTTATAAAAAGACTTTGAACAAACTTGTTTAATTTTCTGATTTAGGCTTCCTAAATGATTAGTTGTGTTAACATTAAATATTACTATTACTTTAGCTTTAAACCTTCAACCCACTGATAACATATGATTAACAAGGCAGACAATAACAGTACTTTTAAGTGGCATTAAGAAAGTGGTTAGCAATACTTCTTTTAAATGAAGGATATGAGGAACCAAAAAAATCCAAGTCTATTTCTATACTGTTAGCACTCCTAACCAATCATGTTGATGGACTATAAAAGCCATAATTTTGTCTATGGTATCTAATAAAAAGTTTCATTAGCTCTGGTTGCACTATTAATTTTAAGACCAATTTTTATTAAAATATCAGGAGAATATATTGACCCAGACAAAAGTTTGAATAGGAAGCATAGATCTAATTGAGTTCTCCAGTTCTGCAAAGTTGTGATCTCTAATCTGGAACATAGGTTAGCATAATCATAATCGTAATTATTTATACGCACTCCTAATTTATATGCTGAGCATCTCAGAAACTTATGTTGAACCATTTCAAGTCTATTAATGTGAATGCAATAATAAGGGTTCCAGACAACAGCTGCATATTCCATATTAGAACGAACAAGAGTGCAGTAAGAATTTATTGAGAGACCATTAGAGATTCTTTGTATATAAACCAACAACTTTCTGGCTTTTAATGATATCATTGTAATGTGTTCTGAAAAAGTAAGTTTTTCATCAAACATTACGCCAAGGTCCTTTATTTGGGTCACCAATAAGATCTAATGAAATGATACAATAAGTAGTCTATAATAGTATGGCACCTACTAAACTTAATATAAAAACATTTACTTACATTCAAATTCATACAATTTACATTACACCACAATGGTAGGTTGTTAATATCAGTCTGTAAATCAAAACAATCAGATATACTTTCAACAATTTTAAAAATGTTTAAATCATTTGCAAATAGTAGAAACTGAGACTTTTTTATACAACATGCAATGTCATTTACAAATAGATTAAAAAGAAGCAGACCACAATGGGATCCTTGAGGAATACCAGACAATACTTCAATCAAATAAGAAATGTGATTCCCAATTTTGACCCACTGATACCTACCAATTAAAAAACTAGATAGCCAATTTAAAAGTTTACCATTGATATCATATGAGCTCAACTTGGCGATCAACAATTCATGGTTAACTCTATCAAATGCTTTTGAGAAGTTAGTATAGACAGAATGTACTTGATACCCCCCTTCAAAAGCACTCAATATTTCATTTTGATAACTAACAAGGCAGTTACTGTAGATTTTCCTTGTGAAAAACCATGTTGTTGATCAATTATTAGCCTTTTACATTCCCATGACAAATATTCTGTAATGAGTGAATCGAATATTTTTGGAATGTTAGATTGCAAACATATTCCTCTGTAATTTTTTGTTGACTTTTTCTTCATAACATTTTTTGGATTTTGAATAAACAATATCCTGTAATATTTCCAGCACCAGATTTCTCTGGTTTGGTGAAGTTGACATTTTATTGCATGTAATATTTGTTCTAAAAACCTTGAGTGTAAGGAACAGACACAAGGACAGTTGTGATTGAGGAAATAAATCAGTAAATACAGACCATTAGACAAAATCTTTATCGGTCATTATCGATAAAGTTGATTTCCAACAATCATTTTCTCATTGAAATATTTGTATCATTTTTTTAATACTCTCCTGAGTTTCATTTGCTTATCCATTCCTTTCCTTATCCATTACCATCGATAGTGAGTAAAATGTATAAAGGCATTCAAAATATATTTAATTTAAATGTCCAATCACAGAGCAAAAATTCTGGGTAATTTTTATAACTTTGTTTCATTATTTTACTTTGATAATAAATGCCAATTAATTCATTTTCTTCACAAGTAGATACTACTTCCACTACACCTGTTTGGCTTAAAAATTGAACAATTTCAGAGAGTTCATTTTTATTCACTGATTTGTTTCATGTTTTGTATATCTTTCAAAATCACAATTTTGCCAGTCTTATCTGAAATATAGTCTTTAACAAGTTTCTTATCACATTTAAGTTGCAATAGATTATCTATTTCTTCCTTTTCTTCTGCATTTAGACGCTTTTGTCTGGGTAAATGTTTATATAATTGTTCGCTTACTTCGTGGTTGTGGTTTAAATTCATGTCTTCTATGCTTAAATGTTGACCATCTGCCAATAAAGACACTTTAATTTTCATCATGCAGTCTGTTTTCATTTTCCTGTTCTCTGGGTTTTAAAGTTTCTACCACCTATTACACATGCATATATAATTCTATAATAATTTAGGTCTTTATTGGCTCTTTGTACAATTTGCAGTGCCATTTCACTTGCAGCCACTAATGTTTTTGCATCTCTCATATGTAACTGAATATGATTAGTTTTCTGTCTATTATTTTTCTTTTAATTCCGTAAAGCTAGAAGAGAACTTATCACGAATACTAACTGACATTTTAAATTTTTAAACTTTTTGTAGCAAATAAGTAGAGTGTATAAATGTTACGGTAGAATAGTGCTGCTTTTTTTACCGACTTACAGCAGATTAGCTCTAGATGCTAGTCACTTCCAATAGTTAATTTGTAAATAAAATCAAATATCCAGTCTTTCTGAACTCCTAATATTAAATACTTACCTTTAACAAATATGATATAATTTCCAGTAGTAATATATGTTCCTCAAAATCCTCGCTTAGCTCCTCTGTTTGTTTTGGTTTAAGCAGACAACAAAATATACCAATAAATTTTATTGTTTTCTCAATGTATTGACTTCCACGATCGCTTTTTAAAATAAGGGTTATTATATTTTTTAAATTACTCCAAAATTCTTCATGGTTCGACTAAAAATGTATATTTATACACACGTATAAAAAATATTTTTTACCTTTACATTATCATACAACTTTTTTAAAAGTATGGAATTCCTTTGATGTACTGCACTATTACTTTGGCAAACTGTAAACAAATCACTCATTTCTTGTTTCATTTTGTTATTTGATAATTGATAATAATTGTTACTCTTGTTGTTATCTAAAATGTTTGCGACGGTTACTTTTATTATGAAATTTGAATTTGACATTTCTTCTTCGTTTTTTGTATAAAATCGGCCTCTTGCTACAGACATGAAACCTATGATCTTTTTTAATTTGTTTACTGCTAAGAACAGGTCGTTTACTCGCCGGATTTCTAAAAGAAAAAGGCCACAAAATTATCTACTTAGACAGTGGCGTAACTAGAAATTAATTAAATGAACCATGATGTATCGGTTTTAATAATTCATATTTAATGATTATTTTGATTAAACCGATTTAAAACTGAAGTAAAATTGTTTTAGATTTCTTAACAATACATATTTAATTTTGAAATAATTTTAAAGAAAATAAGTTATAAATGAAATAACATACTTATTCTTTAGTCGTCACAGAATTCGGCTGGAAAATCTAAATATAAAGGTTTACCTAAGTTGTTTTAATCACCCGAATACCGTAAAACTACTATCTACCTGATCAGATTAAAGGTTGTTTATTCTATGGATTATTATAATAATAAATGTTTAAATCAAATTATTTTTTGAACATGTCGAAGAAAATCTACTATAATTTGGTTTTCTTAGTAATAATTATGCATTACCAAGCAATTGATAAAGCTCAGGTAATAATGCTTTACTGGTCAAACCATATTTCCAGTATATGACGAACATTATTTAAGTTACAGGGTGAATCATAAATTACTGAAAATCGAATTTTAAGTTTTACTTTTGAGGGTCTGGGTGGTTAGAGTCTGGACTGGCAAATCTAGGGGCCTGCGGTTCAAATCCCATCATTGACCGGGATTTTTTTAATTAATTAATTTGCTTATTTAAATATAATTCTGATACATAGATAGGATTGTGCACTCTGAGCATATACTACTGTGTTTTTTATTAACAGTGCTGTTCCTTAGTGGAGATGGAAAACAGTCACAAGGCCTGTATGCATAAAGGAGTATTTTTTTATTTTTACACCCTTGGGACCTCCCGTGATATCTCCCCTAATACGTTTCTTACGTGGAGGCACGGTAGCCGGCGCTTATTAGAATTTGGAGACCCTACTTACTAATTCAGTCACCAATTTACTAATTCAGTCACCATCATGGAAGAAGGGAGACAGACAAAAAGACTATAGCCTGCAAGATAGATTACTGTACAAACAAAACAGATGAAGACAAAAAAAAACATGATATGGGAATTCTCACAGCAGCAAAAAAATCAACAGCAATTCTATCCTTGGAAGGAACATAGCAGACAAGCATTTTTCACCCTGGACAGACCACGAATTTACTCAGGGTTAGTACTAGAATTTCGCGAAGCTTTAGCCGAAGTATCTATCAACATTGTGGTCAACTTAAGATGGATCAAAGGTCACGCCACATCGGAAAATAGCCAACTTGCTATTTACTAGCCAAGAAGGCAGCTAACCAAATACTTCTATCGGACTGACAACATCGGTAGTGACAAACCTAATTAAATAATATTCCCTTGTGAAATTCAAGGAAAGATGGGATGAAACAAAAAGTCGAAGACTTGCCAGGGAGCTTTTAAGTTATCCTGACAACACTACAGCAAACAAATACTTGACTATGACTAGAGAGAATCTGCGCCTAATCACAGGCATTCTGACTGGTTATTACCAAGTACGGAAGCATCTCCATATCATTAGAAGATTTGTGTTTAGCGAGAATTGGCTAACACTGGCCAATATAAGAGAAGCACCTCCTTGGCGGCGTTGTTAACTATGGATGCACAATAGACCTAGTGAGGCCTAAGTGCACTAAGTTAACCAACCCTCCACACGTTACAGATACAGATACATAACATGGTATGGAACATTAGCCGAATGTCTGGAAGAAATTTTGGATTGAAGCAAAAAGAATGGCGAAAAACAAAAAGGAATGGGCAAAATTGGAACTAAAATAAAAAATATAATTGTCCCCTTATTAGAGTACATATTTAAGATTTACCAATAATAATGATAAAAAACCTTTGTAGATAAAATGGGGGACAGCAATTTTTAGGCGACTTTTTGAAAATTAACGCAGACTAACGTATTATACCTTTTTGATATCGTGCTTTAAAAAGCTTTCATTTGATATCCCACACGATGGAATCAAATAATTGTTTTTATAACTGACCACAAGGTAAAAAATCTACTTTTCTAGTTGCCAAATTGGGTATAAATCGAAATACCAATTAATGAGAGTAAATTAGTAAAAAATTTAAATAGGACAAGAAGATGTCGTCAAAATTAACTATTAATAATTGCAAAAACACTTTAACATGAAAGTTAATCACGAGTATAATTAATAAGATAAATTATTTAAAATTTTAAGGATCAACATGTCATTTTTATTAATATTACTGCGTAGTATTTAATATTAAAAAATATTGTGTAATACCAGACAAGGATTTTCTTCTGTTGAACCATTTTTTCCATGAAAAGGTAGTGAACAAATATAAGTATCTTTAGTAACATTATCCATCAATCGATCGAAAACCTTTATCACTTCGACCACATTTTTTCACTCATACCTAATCATCATTTTGAATATATTTTAATATGTATTTTGCCTAATGATTTGATAGTTTTTTTATGATACTGCAGGCAAGTTTTTTTATAAAATAATAATTTATACCGTGTGTCACTTTTACATACTCATAACAATACTGTTTAGTTTTTCCTTTCCGTAAAGATAATTAATTGATTGCAAAAATTGATTTTTCAATTAAGACACTTACTACTTTACTTTTCTTTAATCCATTTTTTAAACGAATTCACTTAAAATTAATATTTATCGATTATAATTTTTTTCACGTGGACATTTTCACATGCTTGTTTACAAAAAACAGTACGAAAAAGATGGCTGATACTGACGCATGCGCACAAAAAAAAATTGTGATGAAAAGGCCTATTGTTAAGTTTAGCTCACCAGCTTGCTGACGTCTCAATAACTCGCTTCTGACAGTGTCCAGAGTTTTCCTTTGGTTAGGAGTTTGGTCCAGATGTATAAAAATCTTTTTATCGCGGCTGATATTGTGTTTAATTTTGATATTAGCGTGTACGTCGCCAGTTGATTTCAACACAACTTTAAGGGGTCGATATCCATTTTTATTAGTCTTTCCAAAGCGAAAAACTTTGATATCGTTAATATCAGTGATATTAGCCTTTGTTATTAGAGTTTTGAGTTGATTAAGATCATCAGAGACATTGTTTGGTTCAGGTAGGTTAAAGATTACCAAGTTCTTGGCTCTCTTTTGACGTTCGTGAAGTTCGGTAATAATGTCCTCACCAAACATCGGGACGTCGTTCTCTTTATCTTTGAGTTTTTTGACTTCATCTTCTAATGAATTTACTTCTGATCTAAGGCTATCAATTTGTCTCAGTAGTGCGGGTACATTTTTAAATGCCTGGCGACAATCCCCGCAAAAATATACCAGAATTCTTTTTTGTAAAACAATAGTATGCAGTTCGGAAGCCTCCAGGCTGGTGCAACTCTCTGAAGGGTGCATTGGGACACGACAACTGTCATAAGAAATTAGCCATTCTCCGAGAACATCACTGCAAGTTACACAATTGCTAGCCATTTAGAGTGAACAAGCTTTGAACAAATCAGTCAAATTTCGCTGTAAGCTACCAGACTATTTGTAATTAAAAGTCTGTTATTGTAGATCGAGTCGTTAAAATTTTGCTGTAAGCTGCCAGACTATTAGTAAATGAATAAAAGTCGATATTTGTTATCAGGAACAGGTTTCTGTGGATAGTTTTTGCTTATAATTGATAGATAAATGCAGAGAATTAATGAACTAATACTAATAGTGGCATTTTCTACAGATGTTTTGGCAATGGCAAATTTATGATGAGCTTGAAGAAACACACAGGATTTTACCCAGTCAAAAAACGACAATTTAGGCTGTATTATAACCACTTTAAAACAGTAATTTTGAGGAGCAATTTTTAGAATTAATATTTCAATTGACGAACGAAACTGTTGAAGTAGAAAAGAAGAAACCACAATATTTATTGAAAGAACATTTAAAGAAACAACTAAATTCGACTTCATATAAGTATGAAGTTAAGAAGGAGGCAAGGAACACTTTTTGGTACCTAAAACCTATAAAGATGTTTTGTTTTTGACACCAGACACAGTCACTATTTGTTTTTTTTTTTAGTTTTGTGCAAGATCAGTCCCAAAGTTTTGCGAAAGCACTATTAATATTTTAATTACTAAACAAGTCGTTTTCTACAATACTATTGTTTGAAAGTGGTTGTCCTCAAACCGAACATAGATGAAAACATGACTACTCTACTGCGGAGTCAATCAAAATAATTGTGATAATAAGGATGCCTCTCCCCTGAATATATCTAATTAGGTCCAACAAAGCCTCTGTGATTAAATCTCTACGGCTTATAAGACCCGACTGAGTTGTACGGAGTTGAATTAGTTCGGTCTCCCAACTTTAGGGTCAGGAAAACGAAGGAAACTTTATTACCTATTTTGTTACAGCTTTGAAATTATTCAATTTGAATTTCAAATTCGGTTCGCAAAATTTTAATGCAATGTCCCCGATAGTAGTCATTTCCCATTAATGTATATTTAACTAATTTTCTGTTGCGGAACATATCGATGCGAATTAATTACAAGAATTCGATTATATTAATATATTAGTAAGGAAACAGAGCCCATAGGAAATTTTGAGTTGAAGCCATATTTTAAGGATATTTGCATTTGATCCACAAATTCGAACAAGATTCCTAATCTCATAGATTTTTTTTATAATCAAGGGTAATATACCAAGACCTTGATAATCGTCAGCTATTTTTGTTGAATCTAAATCTCGAGAATATTTTAATATCAATTTGATGAGACATAATTTTTGGCAACACTAAATCTGATTAGAGCCCGAGAGCTTTAACCGACACTCGGTTTCTTTTTGCCAAAGCAGCTAAATATCTGGGTATGTCACTTGATGCTAGAACTTCGCTGGAAAGTCCATATTAAAAAAAAACACGAAGAGCTTGGTATAAAATACAAAAGAAAGTATG